CTAAAAGACAGCATATCAGAAGGTAAAACAGATCTTCCAGAAGGAAGAGATAAAATAAACCAAATGGTCATTTTGGCTTTGCCAAAATGGGTTTAGAAAGTATTTTTTTTTTAAATGACCATTTCTGATGTATTTATATTTGATGCCAGTGCTCTTTGGGTTCTGTTGTGGAAAAGAAACACCGTAGACTTTTACTTAACACAAAAACCCATGCAGACGCTGCAAATCTGAAATGACAAACAAAACAATCTGGAAATAAAAGCAAGTAGACATGCATCTGAAAGCAAAAGACAAGTTAGCATTTCAGGTCGCACACCTGAAACATTAATCTAACATTCTTTCTCAAATGTCAATTCACCCACTGTGGATTTCCAGCATTACCTTTTTATTAATTTCAATATGCAACCTGATTATACAGCTACACAATAGAACTCCCACAGCACAAATACAATCACCAGGGAGACAACTGTAAACACCATTGTTAATGGAGCATAATAAAATATTTTATACAATGCAGGAGGCATTAACATAACTTACACAGATTGATTGTGTTCGAGGTACAAGCCAGACCAATGATTTGTGATAAAGTCCAAGAGTTAATTTTCAGAGATAACAATCATGAGTTTCATAGAATGGACCAACATTATTTGATGGAAATGAATATTTTACTCTTACTCTTTCACCAATGTGACAAACCTTCTTTATTTAGGAAGTGGGAAGCTGCCACTGCCACTCAGAAAGCTGGTCTTGTCCAAGCAGAAGTACATTGCCTGCTCATGAGAGCATGTGGATTGGGGGTAGAGGGGACAGGGGGCAACAGGGTCAACCAAATAGGAAAGCCAGAGAAAATCAGTAATTTAAAGTTTGGCATTAATATTCACTGGCTGAATGGGAAAGAGAAAAAATAATCATACTCCTCTCAATTGCTATCTATTGATCCCTTCCAGAAGCACTAGGTGTGCACTGGGCAAGCTGAGCTGTTGTGGCCACTTGAGTTAGAATAGCTTTTGACCCACTGTCCAAGTTCACAAATGAAGAAAGGTCACTTGAATGAAATACAGGATGGCTCCTGGCACATACCGAACCAGTCTCCACCATGAATCATTGCCTTTGGAAAAGGCCAAGTAAGGGGTAAAATGGAAATAAAAATAATCCAATAAAAGAAAATTTACAGAGTACATAATAATCCATTCATAAATGCTTGAAACTGTTTCCTGTGATCATTCATCTTGTTGCGGTTTGTCGCTGGCGAGGATTAGCCACTTAATTACATAACAACAGTCACAACATTTCAAAATACTTTGTATCATTGAGGAAACAACAAGAGATGTTTCAACCAGATAAGGCAACATGTCAAATGCAAATGTTATATTTCAGGTAACAATTATAATACTACTATTTGAAGAGCAGGAACATTTTGCAGAAATGTACTCACCTTTACAATGAAGACTGGACAGATTGGGTCCCTCTCTGCTTTGGTGCTCATAATAATAATAATAATAATCCTTGCATTTGATATAGTGCTTTTCACGTCTTCTAGACATCTCAAAGCGCTTCACAGAATATACTGTAAAGTGAATTGACTGTATATTTGTGGGCGAACGCGGCAGCCAATTGCGCACAGCAGTGTCCCACAAACAGCCGTAGATTGAAAATGACCAATTTATTATTGTTTTGTTTTGGAGGGATTATTATTAGGTGTGTGAAGTAAGGAAACTTGCCCAAGGTTTCGCCCTCTGCCTGGAATTGAACTCAGGTCTCTCACTTGCAAAGCGAGTGCTCTAACCACTGAGCTACAGGACTCCGTAAAACAGTTATCAAAGGTAAGTGTAGGAATAAATAAGAAAATATTTATAAGACATAGAAATCATTCTGATTTGTCTGAACCCATAATGCCAATTGTTTAGGTTCGGCTAATCAGTCTCCCCAGCATTTTTTTATATAGTGTGCTTCTCTTTTAAAAATAACTTTTTCTATAAGATTCTGAGGTTCTCATTCTTTACTCAATGATCGTTTGTAATGTTTGTGTTTGTAAATAGATTGAAGATAACATGTAAATGCATATAAAAAAAGTCACGCGTTTGAGAGATGAGAAAAAAATATTCAGGTACCTATAACTCATCCCTTCAGTGTGATAATTCTCCCTATCATGGTGTGTAATTACATTTTGAATAACTCCAATGCTTTTCCTCTTTTACTTGGTTTAGGTTTGTAACCACAGTTAGTTTCTAAGTTTTTGTTCAGCGAGGACTGCCCTACCCACTGGAACTGCCCTACCCGTTCAGGAAGCTTAGATTTTGAAATACAATAGCTGAACCATCTACTCTATACACAGTATCAATGGTAGGATAATGCCGCATACATGGTCCTACAAGACCGAATGATATGAATTTTCATTTAGACAGGGAGTAAGTTTCCTTACTGCAAAGAAACAGCTTTATATGCTATAGGCAATAGTAATTAATTGAATTAATTGAATTCAAACAGTGCAGGACAATGGCACAGAACAGTGGCCTTGCTAATGTGGACACAATACCCATCATAGTGAGGTATCGTTACATAATTGTGGACAGGAGGCTATCTGTTTCCTACACACACAAAACCTCAAAACCTATCTACTTATTGTTATTGTTATTATGCACTTATTATACTGCACTTATTATGCTCCTTCTACTGCTGGTCACAGTCTGGCAGTTGAAGAAGCTTGATCCTTTTCCAGATATTGACTTATATATAAACTACTTGTGATCCTCTCCAATGTAGAGATGATAATAATGATAATAGTAATCCTTGCATTTGATAATGTCTTATCACATGATTGAGACGTGTCAAAGTGCTTGACAGGTCATACTGTAAATTGGATTGACTGCATTTTTTGGGTGAAGCATTGGCAACCAGTTGTGCACACAATATCCACAAACAGCCATAGGTGACCAATTTTATTTGTATAATCTAGTCTTTCTATTTCAAATAAATATAATTCCTATGTTCTATTGTCTCCCTATATATTGAGATATCCCCAGTTGAGATGCCAGATGGATAATGTGGTCTCTTGAAAACAGTGTGCACAGTATATTATAGTTTCAGCTTTCTTAGCTATTTATAAGAGCATAAATGAAAGCCCCTGGATGGCGCTGTAATAGGAAGAAAGATTACCATTCTAGGTTTTAATTAATTGAAAAATTAAAAATAGATGCTGATGATTAATTACCAATTAGTAAACGGTGTTTTGGCAAACTTTAGGGTTTCAGGTTCATTCATTCTTAAATGTTTTGTGATTTAAAACACATTAGAATAAATATTTTTTTTAAATCATACTAACCGTGCAGAAAAAAGTAATTCACACCCAATTCTAGGCAATTGCTTAGAGAATAATTGTTAACAAAATAAAATTGAGATGATGCCTAAACCACAATTGTGATGTTTTACTGTGTCGTTTAATTCCCCAAATGAGATTATACAGGTTACATTTTAATTAACAACAAATTACATTTATATAGCACCTTTCATGTTGGGAGTATGTCTCAAGGTGATGGACAGTTTGGGGGTGGGGGGGATTGCTCCCGAGCTGGGAGTTGGATTCAGGAGTAGGGAGCAGGCAAAGGATGGGGACGGGGGTTGAATATGACCGAAGGCGTTTCAAAGAGGAAGGTCTTGAGACAAACCTTGAAGGCGAGGCGAGGGGAGGGGAATTAATTTTCATGCATTCACTTTTTTTTAATAAAACAAAAAAAAGCTGCAATTTCCGCCAGATTCGCCAAAGTGTCTTAGATCGTCAACCGAGGAGAGTCGTACAATGCAGCTCCACTCAACAACCACAAACGACGGTTGCATAGCTCCTTTCCGGGCGGGGTGGGGGGCTGGGATGTCCCAAGCCGCACTCATCCCCCAGGGCTGCATTGGGAGCGTCAAGATAAACGGTCTGAGATCCACGTCCCTAATGTGAGGCTTGAACCCACAACCTTCTGCCTGGGAGGCGAGTGCTGCCCACTGGGCTGGGCTAGGCTGGACTGGGCTACGCTAGGCTGGGCTGGACTGAGCTGGGCTACGCTAGGCTGGCTAGACTGGGCTATGCTAGGCTGGGCTACACTAGGCTGGGCTAGGCTGGACTGGCTGGACAGGGCTGGACTGGCTGGACTGGGCTGGGTTGGACAGGGCTGGACTGGACAGGGCTGGCTGGACTGGGCTGGCTGGGTTGGACAGGGCTGGACTGGGCTGGCTGGGTTGGACAGGGCTGGACTGGGCTGGGTGGACAGGGCTGGACTGGACAGGGCTGGACTGGGCTGGGTTGGACAGGGCTGGACTGGACAGGGCTGGCTGGACTGGGCTGGCTGGGTTGGACAGGGCTGGACTGGGCTGGCTGGGTTGGACAGGGCTGGACTGGACTGGACTGGGTTGGACAGGGCTGGACTGGGCTGGGTTGGACTGGACTGGACTGGGTTGGACAGGGCTGGACTGGACTGGGTTGGACTGGACTGGACTGGGTTGGACAGGGCTGGACTGGACTGGGTTGGACAGGGCTGGACTGGTCTGTGCGGCTCAGATCAACGGTTTACCAACCCACACCAAAAGAGCGAATTCCCACTCGTGCCCCACGCCAGGCCCAGCGCCTGGCACAAGCCCCCCGGGGCCATCGGGGCTGACTGACTTGACTGATGGACGGGCAACTGAAACAGACGGGGAAGCCGCGCCGTTCGCGCCCGTTGATTGATCCGCCCGCGGCGCATGCGGAGCCGGCACAGCGGTAGCCTAGCAACCGGCGCGTCACGTGAGCCCGCGGTTGTCCCGGTTGCCAGGGGTGGCGGCCGGCGCTCGGGTCTGCGCGCACGCGCACGGTGGCGGTTGAGGCGAGAGCTGGGTTTGAAAGGCGGGCGACGTTCGAGCGGCTGGTCTCGAGCACCGGGTAACGGGCGGCGCGGAGCGGAGCGCATACAGCCGCTCCTCCCCCACCACCCCCTCCCCCCCCCCTCCCTCCCTCTCCCCCACACACAGTGTGTGCAGCAGCAGCAGCAGCGCCATGAACCGGTAAGTGTCACAGACCGCAGGAGTTCACATAGACACACACACACATTGTCCCGCTTCGTGCTCGTTGATTGTGCTGTGGCTGTCCTGTCATTCGGTTGACCGACTCGTGACTATCCTAACTGGTGTGTGTGTGGTGGGTGGGTGTGTGTGTGTGTCTGTGGTGTGTGTGTGTCTGTGGTGTGTGTGTGTCTGTGTGTGTGTGTCTGTGTGTGTGGTGGGTGTGTGTGTGTGTGTGTGTGTGTGTGTGTGTTGTGGTGTGTGTGTGTGTCTGTGTGTGTGTGTCTGTGTGTGTGGTGGGTGGGTGTCTGTGTGTGTGGTGGGTGTCTGTGTATGTGTGGGTGTCTGTGTGTGCGGAGGGTGGGTGTGTGCGGAGGGTGGGTGTGTGCGGAGGGTGGGTGTGTGCGGAGGGTGGGTGTGTGCGGAGGGTGGGGGTGTGCGGAGGGTGGGTGGGGTGTGCGGAGGGTGGGTGGGGGTGTGCGGTGGGTGTGTGGGGGTGTGCGGTGGGGGTGGGGTGGGTGGGGGGTGTGCGGTGGGGTGGGGGTGGGGGGGTGTGCGGTGGGTGGGTGGGGGTGTGCGGTGGGTGGGTGGGGGTGTGCGGGGTGGGTGGGGGGGGTGTGCGGTGGGTGGGTGGGGGGTGTGCGGTGGGGTGGGGTGGGGGGTGTGCGGTGGGTGGGTGGGGGTGTGCGGTGGGTGGGTGGGTGTGCGGTCTCCCGGGTGACTTGCCTGACATTCGAATGTCGGGATCGAGCCGGCCCTCTCCGATGGTCTCGCTGGTCCCGCCGGAGCCAGGCGGGTCCGCAGCGTGGCCCGGCTCGTCGGCAGGTCCTGGAGGGGCAGACCAGTCTCACTGGGGGATGGGGGGGGGGCAGGGAGTCATCCCATTCAGCTCCTGTTAACCCCGCAAGCCAAAGCCCTCACGGGTTACGTGGTCCCAGCTGGACAAGCAGCGCGGAAAGCCGCTCGCCGGGCAGCAATATCAATGGCAAGCTGTGCGGCTTTGCCCACAAAATATACAGTCCATTCACCTTACAGTTCATTCTGTGAAGCACTTTGAGACGTCTCAAATACGTGATGAGGCGCTGTATCAAATGAGTTGGAATGCAATGCGCACTCTCTCCCTCCAGGGAATTTTCATGTGTAGGTGGGAAGCATGGAATTCTTGGTCTGGTTTGGATACTCTTTAGCATGGTGATGGGTTTCTGCATGTGTCAAGACACCTGGTTGACTTCCCCCTCAAAAAAACAAATTTACCTGGAGGATTCCACTGTGATTTCATTATGCTGTTTGTAGCAGGTTTCAACATATCCATCCATAGTGGAGTTTATAGCATAGTGGTTAGAGCGCTTGCTTCACAAGTGAGGAGATCCGGGTTCGATTCCTTAGGCAAGTTTCCTTACTCCACACAAGCGCCTCTGTTTACCTATCAGTAAGTAGCAATCTGCCTGTTAGTCATTTGGCGAATTGCTTTCCAGGAGTAATAATTTCTCCAAATAATAATAATTTGGGCACTCAATCCACGACTGTTTGTGGGACGCTTCTGTGCGCAATTGGCTGCCGCGTTTCGCCCTCAAAATATACAGTCAATTCACGTTACAGTATATTCTGTGAAGCGCTTTGAGACATCTCGAAGATGCGAAAATGCTATATCAAATGCAAGGATGCTTATTATTTTATGCCCTCAAGATAATTGTGTAGTGGCATCCTCAGAATAGGTTTGCAGTTGTAACAGTAGTAATCTTTGAACGGGAAATGATAGAAAAGGACTAGGTGATCAGATTTGTGTAACTTTAGCTGTGTACATCCTCCTGATGTAAATTATAAATATTTGTTGTTGTATGACACCATTTGAAAGCTGCAATTAAAAATTTGTGTGATATTTACTCTGAAAATCTGTACATACCATTTAATGAAGGGTGTTTCCTTTTAATTTTCTTCCCTTTGTCTCTGGGTCACATTGGAACTTGCCTGCTTCTATCAGGGCCTCTTTAGTTATCTGCTGGATGGATTTTGATATAGCAAACTGGTGACAATACCCTTAATAATAATAATTATAATAATAATCCTTGCAGTTGATACAATGCCTTTTCACGTCATTGAGACATCTCAAAGGACTTCACAGAACATACTGTAAAGACTCACATTTTCCCATTCAGTAATTTGATGGCTGATTTTTTAAAAAGGTGAAATAACTAGTACAATATATATAATATGATACATATATATGATATGTATATATGATATATGTAACTCGAACCCTAACAGTATTTTTGTAAACAATCAAGTTCTTCTCCATGAAATAAAGTGGGAGGGGTGTGGGAAGAAAAGCCCTGCATTGGGCAGATGATATAAAGCCTATAGATATACCAGTCTTACGAACTGATCAAATTGAGAAATTGAAAATTCAGGTTTACCATTTGGATTCAGCATCATCAACAACAACAAAATTACATTTATAGAGCGCCTTTCACGTTGGGAGGCCGTACCAAAGCGCTGAACAGTCAGATGTCGGGGCCCGAGCATGGGGGAGGGGTGGTGTACGGGTGAGGGAAGGCAGAGAGGTGGGAGGGAGACCAAAGGCACGGTCGAAGAGAAGGGTCTTGAGACCGGACTTGAAGGAGGCAAGGGAGGAAGCGAGGCGAAGGGACCGTGGGATGGAGTTCCAGAGTGTGGGGGCAGAGAGGCTGAAAGCCCGGCCACCAATAGGAGGGCGGGTCGGGCGGGAGACATGGAGCAGGCTAAAGCCTGATGAGCGAAGGGAGTGGGCAAGTTGGTAGGGAGTCAGCAGGTCAGAGAGGTAGGAGGGGGCTAGGCCATGGATGGCCTTAAAGGTGAGGACGAGGATCTTGAACTCAATCCTCTGGGGGATGGGGAGCCAGTGGAGTCGGGCGAGGGTGGGCGTGATGGGGTCGCGGAGCCTGGTGCGTGAGAGTACACAAGATGCAGAGTTTTGGATGATCTGCAGCTTGTGAAGGGAAGAGTTGGGAAGGCCGATGAGGAGGGAGTTCCCGTAATCAAGCCCTTGAGGTGATGAATACGTGGGTGAGGGTTTCGGCAGCCTGAGGGGTGAGGCAGTGGCAGAGTCTGGCAATGTTGCGGTGGTGGTGGTAGGCAGTGCCAGTCATGGCGCGGATGTGGGGGAGAAAGGACAGTTCAGGGTCAAACAAGACACCCAGGTTCCTGATTGGCTTAGTGAGGTCGAGTGTGCAGCCGTGGAGGCTGATGCTGCCAGCGCTCGAGATGCGGAGGCGCTGGCGCGAGCCAATCAGGACGGCCTCGGTCTTGCTGACGTTGAGTGGAGAAAGGTCTTGATGCCGGACAGGCAGTCGGTCAGGACCTCAGGAGTCCTGGTGTTCAGGGTGGAGGCAGAGAGGTAGAGTTGGGTGTCATCCGCATACATGTGGAAATTTATCCCATGTCTGTGGATGACGTCACCAAGGGTAGAGGGTGAAGAGGAGGGGACTGAGGACAGACGAGGCGGTGCGGGGGCTGGAAGAGAAGCCGATTACCACAACGAAGTGGAGGCGGTGTGAAAGGTAGGACCTGAACCAGTCAAGGACAGAACCTTGAAGGCTGAGGTGGGAGGAGAGGCGGTGGAGGAGGATTGAGTGGTCCACGGTGTCAAAGGCGGCAGAGAGATCGAGGAGGACGAGGAGGCAGAGGGAGCCCTGGTCACACAGGGTCAGGATGTCATTTATGACCTTGACCGGAGCAGTTTCTGTGCTGTGGGCAACACGGAAACCCAATTGGAGGGGTTCATGGAGGGAGTGAGAGGAGAGGAAAGAGCGAAGCTGGGAGGCAATAGCGCTCTCAAGGACCTTGGATAGGAAAGGGAGATTTGAGATGGGCCGGTAGCTAGATAACTGTGATGGGTCGAGGGAAGGTTTTTTTAAGGTGGGGGCAATAGTGGCTGTTTTGAGGGAGGAAGGAACAGTGCCAGATGACATGGAGAGGTTAATGATCGACGAGTAGTGGGGCAAGGGGGTGGAGCTGGGATATAAGGAGAGGGGTGGGGATGGGGTCGAGGGAGTAGGTGGTGGACTTCATGGAGGTTACCGTGTTGAAGATAGAGGAGGAGGTGACAGGTTCAAAGGTGCGGAAGGAGGGATGGGTAATTGTGTGGGATGGGGGTAGGGAGGGGTTGGAAGTTGGGAGGACAGTTGCAGATGAGCAGAATCCCTCGATTTGGATCTCGAGGAAGTCCAGCATTTTTTTGCAGTGAGAATCGGAGGAAAGTATCTACGAGGCATGTCATGGAGGGCGGAGGAGCTGGTTAGTGGTGGAGAACAGGACCCTGGGATTACCTTTCGCCTCCAGGATTAACCTGGAATAGAAGGGTGATTTGGCAGAGATGAGAGCAGAGCGGTAGTTCTTGATGAGGTCCGATCAGATGTGGCGGTGGACCATTAGGCCAGATTTGAGCCAAGTGCGCTCGGCAGACCGCACCTGGCCCTTAAGCAAGCGGCGGTTGCTGGTGAACCAGGGTGAGGATTGGGAATAGGAGGCAGTTCGGGAGGTGAGGGGGGCAAGGACATCGAATGTGGTGGAGAGGGTGCTGTGGAGAAGAGTGAGTGCAGTGAGTGAATTGTTGCGAGAGGTGGGCCAGAGAGGGGAGGAGATCAGAGGACTCCAGGGCAGTAGAGAGGGATTGCGGGGAGATCTTCTTCCACGGGTGATAGAAGATGGTGGTAGGTTTGGAGGCAGCGGGGAGAGGGATATGGAAGTTGAGGGAGATGAAATGATGGTCAGAGATGGCCTTGTCAGTGATGGTGACATCCGAGATGCTGAGGCCCCGGGTGATCACCAGGTCGAGCGGGTGACCGTGGGTGTGGGTAGCAGAGTGGATGTGGAGGGAGAGGTTGAGAGAGAAGAAGTCTGAGGAGATGGAGCAGGAGGGGGTGAAGTGGAGGTTGAAGTTGCCTAGGATGATGAGGCGGTTGGAGCAGAGGCAGAGGGAAGCAAAGAGAGTGGAGATGTCAGAGATGAAGGTGGGAGAGGATTTTTTGGGGGGGTAGAGTAAGAGAATTATCAGAGGCGGGAGGGATGGCAGAGGGTAAGGTGTTCAAAGGAGGGGAACGACCCGGTGGAGTAGGGGAATAGGGCAAGTGATGCCCTGGATATGAGGGCCACACCACCGCTACGACGGTTAGGGCGTGGGATACGGTGGTATGGGTAGCCGGGTGGTGTGGCCTCGGTGAGGGGGAAGGTGTCACCTGAGGTGATCCAGGTTTCTGTTAGTGCCATGACGTCAATGTTCTCATCGAGGATGAGTTCATTGATGGCCAGGGTCTTGTTGGAGATGGAGTGGACATTTTGAAGTCCAATGCGGAGTGGACAGGTGGCAGGCGGATGTGTGGGATGGGAGGGGGTATTGGAATGGTTGGGAGGGAGGGGAGGATGCAGATGAGAGAGGAGAGGTTAGCCCCCGGGGTCAGGGCCCGGGTTGGCTTGTGGCGGTAGTGCGGATGGGGCAGTCGGTGTGGCTGCTGCAGGACAGCCAAGGCTGAGTGCCATGATGAGCCCGGCAGAGGATTCCCAGGCTTGAGAAGAGGGAGGCAGTGAAGGGGGTCAAGCAGAGAGAGGAGGCGGGGAGGGCAGAGAGAGAGAGAGAGAGAGAGCAGGACAGAGCGGGAGAGTTGCAGGGAGTGGGACATTTTGAGGGAGGGCCAGCTCGGGTCAGGGGCAGCTGCCAAGATGTGCACGTTGGGACAAGAGGCGGTGGCGGGTTTAGTAGGACATTGTCAGCTGCAGCTCCCACGCTAATTACAAAAGAAGATGTGATGTAAAGTGTAAAAGAGGCTCCATATGAGGATGTAATACGGTGGATGGAACTTGGAACGTTAGCAAAATTGTGGAGAATTTACAAAATAACAAAGATGCAGAATTAGAGATTAGACCAGAGGTTTGAGGTGCGCAATGTGGCTAATAATACCCATTGGACATCAATCCATATGATTTAACTAACTTTTCAAGTTTACTTTTTTTTCAAAAGATTGTGAACATCTAAACAATGTGGAGTGAAACCTGCGCTGTGGTGAACTAAATTTGCAGCATAAACATTCCATATGAACTTAATTTCTTCAGTGCATAGATGCTGTGATACCAGACCCTTTGTCTGGTGAGGTTGGTTGTTCCACTGGAACAGGGGAGGATTGAGAGGAGATTGATAGAAATCTTAAAATAAATAGGGAAAACTATTTCCTTTAATTAAAGAATCAGTGTGAATTCATTACAATGCATAATTATTGAGACTAGTTCAATGAAATTATTCAAAAGGAACCAGGGATAAGCACCTTAGAAGCAAAAAAAAAAGGGGTAATTGGTGGGATTAATTAAAAAGAACATCTTGGAAAAACAGGTAGCAGTGATTCGGATACAGTGAGCCAAATGGTATGCATGTTGTGCTGAAAAATGTATTGCCCTTAACCCCCCCCCCCCGGTAAATTGATTATAAATGTGAGGTTATATTATAATTTACTGCCAATCTGGCACAAGTTTTGTCAAATTTAATTGTTTTTTTTATATGCAGGATTTATGAAGGAGCTGTCCTGAATGCCTAGTGAGTGAAGACATTGCTGTTGTAACATTAAGCCAAACAGAGCAAACAGTCACACTTGTCAAGTTAGCTGATTTCAGCCAGAAAGAAGCTGAGGTGCTATAATTGACTTAGTACTTTGAGAAAGGGACGGAAAAATCAGTTTGAGTTCCTGTTCCTGATTGCTTTTGAGTGATCCTTGTCAGAAAATGCACTGAGTGAAAACAAAATTGGGCTTGGCTGTGAGTAGCTTGCCAACGTTCACATGTCTTTGTGCTCGCTTTGGCACATATACTAACATTGGAACGATACAGAGAAGTTTAGCATGAACGCTGCGCAAGGATGACATGCAAATTTGTGAAGCTTTCCACATTTTTTTTCAAGCACTCGGGGATGCTACCCTGTGTGAAGGGTGCTATTATAAATAGGAACATAGGAATTAGGAGCAGGAGTAGGCCATTGGGCTCCTCAAACCTGCCCCGCCATTCAATAATATCATGGCTGATCTTCTAACCTAAATCCATCTGCCCTCCTTATCCCCATATCCCTTAATCCCTCTATCCTTTAGAAATCTATCAATCTCAGTCTTGAATATGTTCAAGGACTGAGCATCTACGGCTTTCTGGGGTAGATAATTCCATAAATTCACTACCCTCTGAGTGAAGAAGGGTTTCCTCAACTCTGTTCGAAAGGGCTGTCCCTTAATCTTAAGACTGGTTCTAGATTCTCCTAGCAGGGGGAAACACTCACCCTCTCTACTCTGTCAAGCCCCATAAGAATCTTATATGTTTCTATAAGATCACCCTAAGTCTTCTATATTCTAGAGAATATAGGCCTAGTTTACTCAACCTATCCTCATAGGTCAACCCCCTCGTCCCAGGAACTAACCTAGTGAATCTACGCTGCACCCCCTCTAAGGCGAGTATGTCCTTTCTTAAATAAGGAGACCAAAACTGCACACAATATTCTAGGTCCGGTCTCACCAAGGCCCTATACAGTTGCAGCAAGACTTCCCTACTCTTGTATTCTAACTCTTTTGCAATAAACTCCAACATGCCATTAGCCTTCCTAGTTGCTTGCTGTACCTGCATACTAACTTTTTGTGACTCGTGTACAAGGACACCCAAATCCCTCTGAACACTAACACTATCTAGTCTCTCCCACTCTAGAAAATAATCTGCTTTTCTGTTTTTATTACCTAGGTGAATAACTTCAGACTTCCCCACATTATATTCCATCTGCCACCTTGTTGCCCACTCACCTAGCCCATCTATATCCCTTTGCAATCTTTTTTGTGTCATCCTCAGAGTTTACTGTCCCACCTAGCTTAGTATCATCCTTGAATTTAGATATTTTAAGTTCTATGCCCTTATCTAGATCATTGATATAGATTGTAAATAGCTGAGGCCCAAGCACTGATCCTTGTGGCACTCCACTGGTCACATCCTGCCAATCTGAGAAGGACCCGTTTATCCCTACTCTCTGTTTTCTTCCCGTTAGCCACTCTTTGAGCCATGCTAATATATTGCCTTTAATTCCATGGGCCCTAATCTTGTGTAGCAGCCTTTTACGTGGCACATTGTTGAATGCCTTCTGAAAATCTAAATATACTACATCTACTGGTTCCCCCCTATCTAACCTGCTAGTTACATCCTCAAAAAAACTCTAAAAGATTTGTTAACCATGACTTCCCTTTTGTAAAGCCATGTTTACTTTGTCTAATCTTGTTATGGTCTTCTGAGTACCCCACTACGACATCCCTAATTAAGGATTCTAGAATTTTCCCTACCACCGATGTCAGATTGACTGGTCTATAGATCCCCATCTTCTCTCTCCCACCCTTCTTAAATAGTGGTGTGACGTTTGCGATCTTCCAATCAATGGGAACCGTTCCAGAATCCAGAGAATTTTGGAAGATCAAAAACAAGGCATCCACTATCTCAGCAGCCGCCTCTTTTAAAACCCTAGGATGCAGGCCATCAGGTCCAGGGGATTTGTCACTTTTCAATCCTAACAGTTTCCCTGGTACTAATTCTTTACTGATGTTAATTTCCCTAAGTTGCTCACTAACATTAGCTTTTTGGTTCCCTTCTATTTTTGATAAGTTTTCCGTGTCTTCTAACATGAAGATAGAAGCAAAGTATTTGGTTAATGACTCTGCCATATCTTTATCCCCTGTTATAATTCCTCCTGTCTCTGCCAGTAATGGACCCACATTCACTTTTGATAGTCTCTTCCCCTTTATGTATTTGTAAAAACTATTGCAGTCTGTCTTTATGTTCCTAGCTAGTTTGCCCTCATAATCCATTTTCTCCCTCCTAATCAGTTTCTTAGTTTTTTTTGTTGGTCTCTGAAGCCCTCCCAATCCTCGGGTTTACTGCCCTTTTTGGCAGTATTATAGATCTCTTCTTTTAATTTTATACTTTCCCTAACTGCTCTAGTTAGCCATGGTTGAACCACTTTTCCTGTGGTATTTTTATTCCTCCAGGGAATATGTGATTTCTGGGAATTATGTACTATATCTTTACAGGTTTGCCATAGTTGATCTACTGTCATATCCTTTAATCTAATTCCCCAGTCTATTTTAGCTAAATCCTCTCTCATACCTGCAGAGTTGGCTCTATTTAAATTTAAGATCCTTGCATCGGACTTAACTACATCACACTCTAACTTAATGCTAAATTCCATCATGTTATGGTCACTCTGCCCTGGAAGAGCCTTAACTTCCAGACTGCTGATTAGCCCTATTTCATTACATAAAACAAGATCTAGGATCGCCTGTTCCCTGGTTGGTTCCTCAGCAGACTGATCTAGAAAACTATCTCTAATGCTTTTTAATAAACTCCCCCTCTAACTTACTTTTGCCAATTTGGTTTGCCCAATCTATATGAAGATTAAAATCACCTACTATTGGTGTATTTCCTTTGCTACATGCTCCACTAATTTCCAGGTTAATACTCTGCGCAAACATTTCAAGCAAAAGCACTAAAGCATTAAGCAATACTGTTAAAATCTATTACACTTAGGGTTATTTTGGTTGTAGTTGCATGTTTTTAAAACTTACTTGAGAAGGTCACTCAGTTATGTATAAAGAAGATTGTAATTCTTATTTCGAAGGTGGATTATCATTCCATTGTGATGTTTTGTGTATGTTAAGATCCTGAAACATGGAAACTGCAATAATGCTGTCATAATGATGCCACTGATGTAATAATGTTTGGTAAAATAGCAATCATTGTTATGTCTTTGTAATACCAGCTAACAAAATCCTACTCCATGTTCCCCACCCATCTCCCCCACCCTCGGTGGACGAGCTTTTAGCCACTCTGTCCCTCTTGGGAACCCCACCCTAGAATCCCTCTGTCTCACCCTCTCTCTCCCCACTTTTAAAAGCCCACTGTAAAAGACCTTTCTCTTCAACTGCACTTTCGTTCATCTTCCCCCTTTACCTACCTTTCTCCTCAGCTCCGCACCCCCTCCCCCCAGCTGTGTGAAACACTTTAAGATGTTCGCCCATGTGAAAGGTGCTAAATAAGTGTAACATGTAAATGTAAGTTGTTATAATATGATGAATTCAATGAAAAGATTGATATTTAAAGTGCTCACAAATAGAAATCCACCGTGGGCCACTGTTTGCCTATTAAGTATACATTTAACATTAATTAACTTAATTAAACGTGCTTTGAGGTGTTTAAACTTTATAAGTGCTGTATGAGAAATGCAAGAATTAAATTATTATTATTTAGTGACCAGCCTGTCTTGGTGCTCACAAGATATAAAATGTTATTTCTGCTCCTCCACAGTCTTAGAATTCTTCAAAAAATACATTTAAATTGTTGGGGTGGGGTGTTGGTCAATATTTGAGAGATTATTAATTGCTGAGGAAATGGTACACTGACCATTTTGAAAACCCAACATCAAGTGTTCCCAGCTCAGGTCTAGAACACTATATGCAGAGTAACTGAGCTAAAGTTTCAGAAGTGAAATGGCAGTATGGTAATCTACTACGTGGAGCCCTGTAGCTCAGTGGTTAGAGCACTTGCTTTGCAAGTGAGAGACCTGGGTTCAATTCCCGGCAGGGCAAAACGTTGGGCAAGTTTCCTTACTCCACATACCTGATAATAATCCCTCAAAAAAAAATCAATAATAAATTGGTCATTTCAATCCACGACTGTTTGTGGGACACTACTGTGCGCAATTGGCTGCCGCTTTTCGCCCACAAATATACAGTCAATTCACTTTACAGTCTGTTAAGTGAAGCACTTTGAGACATCTAGAAGATGTGAAAAGCGCTATATCAAATGCAAGGATTATTATTATTATTATTACTGCATCACAGAATGTTATTGTGTCATTGATCATATTATTCTGGAGATTTTAAATATACAGTATTTAAAAAATAGTTTAAACATTGCAAAAAGAAATCAGACAGCCAACAGGTATCTAAAGTAAATACTAAATCAATCTCCATATCACAGGAAAAATTCTCCTGGAGGGCTATTGGAGTTCATTTTTTCATTATAAGACCTGCTGAGAGAAGCTTTAATGCTGATTGTAGGTAAAGCAGTAAGTCGCAAACAGGAAGCTGAAAGATTATAGGTCCTTTGATAAGAAGCTTAATTCGGTTCTTGACGAGGTCATTTGTGTCAAAATGTATATTCTGTAAGTAAAAATAGAACGAATGAGAAAAAGTTAAATTGAAACTGAAAATTTTGTGCTGGTGAGAATGTTGTTTTTTACCGTAATGCCTTAAATAAAGCCTCATAAGACTAGATTCGCCCACAAAATATACAGTCAATTCACTTTACAGCATATTCTGTGAAGTGCTTTGAGACATGTCGAAGACGTGATAAGGCCCTATATCAAATGCAAGGATTATTATTATTATAACATTAAAGTGTACCTGTGCTTCTGCTGGGTAACTGATTAATTTCACTGGTATGTCCCAGCAGAGCATGACGATGTTTCTTATGCACTAGATTTTAAAGTGCTTGATTTAAGTTGTTGTAAAACACGTCAGCGTGTTTCAAGTACAGTGAGTGCCCCATTCTTTAATGTGTTCCAATGATTACATTAAATTATCTTGAAATTGAAGTGTTAATGATATAAATCAGTAGCTTCCTTATTTTCTTTTGTTGTCTGTCTTAAAGGACTTGTTAAGATAAAATGAGTGAAGAGAATAGCGATTCTTCACAAGCTGAAGAATATGAAGATGACTTTGAGAAAGATCTTGACTGGTTAATCAATGAAGAAGCTAGTAATGGAAATCTGGAGGTAATGAATAGAAAGAACTAGGTATTCTAAGTATGTGCATTGATATTTGTGAGAAAAGTTACTTTTCTAGGAGTGAAACTTGCTTTTGAAGCTAAGGTTCCATCACTACTGTCTTAACTAAGCTATCAGGTAGCTTATTTTTCTTTTATACATTTGAAACCTCTCCTTGTCAACCGGTTCCCACCCCCCTAAAAACAGCCGTCATCACCCCCATCCTGAAAAAACCTTCCCTGGACCCATCCCTCCTCTCCAGCTACCGCCCCATCTCTAACCTCCCATTCCTCGCCAAGGTCCTGGAACGAGTCGTCGCATCCCAGCTCCGCTCCTTTCTTTCCTCTTTGAACCCCTCCAACCCGGCTTCGCTGCTGCCCACAACACGGAAACAGCCCTGGTCAAAGTCACTAATGACATTCTAAACATCTGTGATCAGGGCTCCCTCTGCCTCCTTGTCCTACTTGACCTCTCTGTCGCCTTCGACACTGTCGACCACTCCATCCTCACACACCACCTCTCCTCTTTACTCAATCTTCACGGATCTGCCATTGCTAGGTTTGATTCCTATTTCTTTCACCGTCTCCACTTTGTTGCCTCTGACGGTTTCTCCTCCAGCCCCCACACTGTCATGCCTGGGGTCCCCCAGGACTCTATCCTTGGCCCTCTCCTCTTTAATATCTACGTGCTCCCCCTTGGTGACACCATCCGCAGACATGGGGTCAACTTACATATGTATGCGAATGACACCTAATTTTATCTTTCTGCCTCCACCCTCAATTCCAGGACCACTGCTGTCCTGACAGACTACCTGTTGGACATCAAGTCCTGGATGAGGGCAAATTTCCTACAGTTGAATGTGAACAAGACTGAGGCCATCCTGATTGGCTCGCGCCAGCACCTCTGCACCTCAGGCTCTGGCAGCATCAATCTCCATGGTTGCACACTACAACTCACTAAGCCAGTCAGGAACCTAGGCATCTTGTTCGACCCTCAACTGTCTTTTCTTCCCCACATCCAAGGCATAACCCGTTCTGCCTTCCCTCACCTCCGTAACATCACCCAACTCTGCCACTACCTCACCCATCAGGCCGGTGAAACTCTTGTTCATGCCTTCATCAGCTCCAGGCTCGACTATGTAAATGCCCTGCTTGTCGGCCTTCCCAACTCCTTCCTCCACAGGCTGCAGGTAATGCAGAACTCTGCAGCCCGTGTCCTCTCCTGCACCAAACTCCGTGACCACATCTCCCCCATTCTCGCCCGACTCCTTTGGCTCCCTATCCTTCAGAGGATCCAGTTCAAGATCCTGGTCCTCACATACAAAGCCCTCCATAGCTTCGCCCCACCCTACCTCTGTGACCTCCTAACCCCTACCAACCCGCCCGGTCCCTCTGCTCAGCCGGATCTGGCCTGCTCCACATCCCCCGACCCACCCGCCCCCAGCCACTCTGCCCCCAACCTCTGAAATTCCATCCCCCAATCACTCCACCTCGCCGCCTCCTTCAAGTCCCGCCTCAAAACCCTCCTCTTCGACCATGCCATCGATCCCCTGACCCCAGCTCGGGTCTGAAATGCTGTACACTGTCCAGCGCCTTGGGAAGTCCTCCCAACGTGAAAGGCGCTATAACAAATGTCATCTTCTTCTTGTTGAAAAGATAATAAACCCAAATCGGATATGTTATAAAATGATCTAAATCTCATCAATTATGATCAATTTAAATTATGTTTTGTTAGTTTCATTCATTTTTTCATTTCAAATTCATGTTGAAAACAGAATGCTGTGGAAATAATTCAATCATACAATTTAGAATTGAAATTATTCACTTTTTTCTCTGAAATAATATACAGAATGGAGCCTTTTTGAATTGGATTGGAACAATAAATATGTTACCCCAACACCGTTATGGTTTCATGTATTATGGAAAAATTAATAATTTTTTTATAGATACGTTGCAAATTTTATAATTTGTATAATCTACTTCCTATTTTATTTCACCTTTTATTGCAACCTAATATTTTAAAACATAGTGAAAATGAAAGAAGATTAAAATAATGCTATAAGTGAATGTGAGTGAACAATTAAAAGACTCCATTTGTAAGAAGTATTAATGTTACTTTCCAGATTTTGTGAGCTGATATGCAAGGTACACCAGTACTTTGATCCTTTCGTCTTGCATATTATTGATTGTCTTTTGAAAATGTTTCCTTGACTACCCCATTCCTTCTTCCTAGCTCCTGGGCCCAGCTACATAGATTATATATCTATATTTTTTGGAATGATTTTCTGCAGTTACAGTTACATATCAGCTGTTTAAGATAAAAACATCTTGGCACCTTAACCTCTATTTCCCAGATGGCCATTTCATTTTAAGATTTTTCAGGACTGTCATGACAATTGTATCTTGTTTCTTCATAGGCAGATGAGGAAGATGAAAATTTTGAAACAAAAATTGATAAGGAGCTAGAAGATGACGAAACGAAGGAAAAGGACAACTCGAAAGCTAAAAAACAATGTGGAAATTCTTCAAAAAGCCCATGTGTATTGAATGAGGATTTGAACAAGGTTGTAAAGCCAACTAAGGCAGAAACGGATGGTGATGATAATCAATCTAATGTGGAAAAGAGTAGTGACAGTTTAATTGAAGAATTCAAGCAGGAGTGCCAGCGGGAAGATGAAGAGCTTAATGAGGAAATAAAACGCTATATAATGGAAAAGATTGAACAAGCCAACAAGCAACTTCAGAATGAAGATCCTGTGGATCAAAATCGAGAACGTAGACTGAAGTTTAAGGAGAAGTTAGTTGACTTGGAGGTACCGCCTCTGGAATTTAGTGAGACTGAAAAAGATAATGAAGATGTCACTGGTCGAATGTCTGAAATGTGCATTTCTAATAACGTACAAGAGGACATTAGTTTCAATAATAAGAATGAGAACAGTCCCAAAGACAAAAGAGTATTGATTGAAAAAGATGGAAAATTTGAACTCGTGAGTTTGTGGGATTTAGAAAGTCAAGGTTTATTACCTCAAATTGCTGTTGCATTCAGTGAGCTAGATTGTAAACAGGATTCTCCTCGATCAAGCTCCAGTGGTTTTAGTTCAATTAATTCTAAAGGAAATGATCTTTCAGGGACAAATGGTGAAGGTTTATCATCTCCATTGGTTGAATTTCTTCATTCACCTAAACCACCACCTAAGGATCGATCAACTTCTGCAACGGATATACAAAAAATTCAAAATACTTTACCTCGAAGGGTGCAATCTGCAAACTTTGTCTCAAGGCGTTATCCCCTTTTAATTACTCCACAACAAAAGGGTCTGAATTGGAAAAGTCAACAAAAGAAGGAGCAGTTTAAGAATGAGGTAGACTTGATTTCTTAAAACTCTTTGTACTATATCCTGTTGTAGTAAGTACTACTTTAACTACTTGATCAAGAACCCAAGTACACAGGGAGGGGAAGAAGCTGCTGGCAATGACTGTCCGGCTTCCTGCATATAGGGTGTAGCACAAGAAGCCTCTTGATGTCAGCGGTGCCCCTCAGCAATCATTTACGAGTAGAGAGGAAACACTTGTGAGAATGGCTGCCGTTGACTGGCCAATTTTCTATCCTAATGTGCAGCGCAGTTAATGGCATCAGTTGCAACCTGATTATCCGGAAGAACTGACCTATGGCCACTTTTATAGTGCAGGCCCATTATAATATGGCATCTGATCTATGATACTACATTTGTGTTGGTCAACCACTACAACAATGACAACCTGCCTTTAAATAGCACCCTTCATGTAGATGACTGGCTGTTGAAGTAAGATACATTAAGAATATTCCATAAATATGTATTTTTATAATATATAATATACACTATTGAACTCGCAACTTTTCTGAAAAAGTCATTTGGAATGGAGATGATATATTGTACAAAATTGCCTTCAGGGTTGGGAATATTGAATGAGTAAAAGTCAAATATCACAAGAAGATATTGTTTGTGAGATTGATAATAAAATAATGTGTTTCTTAGATTGGATGCTGAACATACCTATTGAAATAATTCTAAACATTTGATTAGGTCATCGTGAAAATAATATAATCTGTGAAGAAAATGTGCATTGAGATGATTTTGAGCATTTGACAACCATTGTCAAAATTGGCACAGCATTAAGCAAAATGGTTTTATACGAAGATTGGATATAGTAGCTGTTTATGGTGGGTGGATTAGATGGTGAGATTTTCTTTTACTTTTGGCTTATTCGAGTGTCATTTTCAATTTGTGAAGAAACAAGAAATAAGAAGAACTGAGGAAGAGGAACGAAAGAGAGAGGAAAATAAGATGGCGTTTAATGCCTGGCTTCTAAAAAAGAGACAGCAGAAGCTAGAGGAAAGGAGAATCCAGTGTGCAAAGGAAATGGAAAGAAAGAATATGAAGGTATTTAAAATGCTATACCTTTTCTCTTGCAAGTAAATTATCCGTAGTGCAGGAAAATCTAAACAAGAAGAGAACTTTCATTCTTATGTGGCTGCTTGTGGTACATTGCTATGTGCAAACACAGTCAATCCACTTTACAGTATATCCTGTGAAGAGCTTTGAGATAAGGCACTATATCAAACGCAAGGATTATTATTATAGAGCCTTATTTTAAACATCTAAATAATTTTCACAGTTGACTACTGACTGGTGTAGTGACTGCTTTTATCACCATTTGCACCAGTAAGGTCCCACCAATTCACCTGGAAGATTGTTGGTGAGGACATTTGGAAGGTCCATTCTGTTTCCAAATAATGTCTGCCTGAACAGGCAAAAGGGACAACAATTTAACATCTCATTTCAAAAATTGCCATTTCTGGCAATGTAGGATCCGCCAAATACTGCACTGGACGAGGTAGACTGTTTGCTGAAGTCCTGATGAGGAACTTAAATCCAGAACTACGACCCAGAGATGAGTGTTACCAATTGGTTCAACCTCAGTTACCTATCATATACCTAAATGTGTACTGTTGAAGGAGAGAGTAATAAAAAATAATCTTTGGATTTGATATATCATAGCCTTATAATAATAATAATAATAATAATCCTTGCATTTGATATAGCGCTTTTCACGTCGGGAGGACTTCCCAAAGCGCTTCACAGAACACACTGTAAAGTGAATTGACTGTATATTTGTGGGCGAACGCGGCAGCCAATTGCGCACAGCAATGTCCCACAAACAGTCGTAGATTGAAAATGACCAATTTATTATTGTTTTTGGTTTTGGAGGGATTATTATTAGGCTCTGTGTGGAGTAAGGAAACTTGCCCAAGGTTTCGCCCTGACCTGCCGGGAATTGAACTCAGGTCTCTCACTTGCAAAGCGAGTGCTCTAACCACTGAGCTACAGGACTCCAATAGCCTTGTGACATTGAGAAGTCTCAAGAATATAGTGTGACGTGGTATGACTGTGTGTATTTTCTGGGAGAACACAACAGCCAAATTGTGCACAGGTGTATCTATTATGTTGATCTAGTTTTATCACAATGTAAATATTCCTATTCAGTTTATTAGGTTTTTTTTGTGTGTAAGGGAGTTCAGACAAAATAGTGTATTTTTCAAAAAGTCTTTAAGGCTTAAAGAATAACTATTTTGTATACCAGCAGTTTCTGGGGCAGTGCCTTTAGAATGGAGGTATCTTATTTCTGATTTTATGCTTATCCCATTCATTAGTCCTGTATGTGGTTTTAATTGCTACAGTTCTGAATGAGTTAAATTCAGGATTGTTAATTCAAAAACAAATACTATGTATGCATATTTGATGCATTCAATATTTTTAATTGTGGTGTTTTATTGCTGAGTAATCTTGAAGGCATCAAGTTTGTTTGACACTAATTATGTTGTAGGTTTAAATATATTTAAATTGTATTTCACAGGCTTGCAGTGGCAAAAAGGATTCTTATTTCATTGGTTCCTCACCAGATGTACGTTGCATTTTTGCATGAGATTTTCTTTATTGTAATGGGGTTGTGGTGGTGATTGCTACATCACTAACATGTACTACAGTGGTTTTCATTTCTTTGGACGCTTTGCTTAACAACAACAAATTACATTTGTACAGCCTTTCACGTCGGGAGGACATCCCATGGCACTGGACAGTCAGGGATTTAAGTGAAAAAATGATTTTCCTTTCTTTGGCAGCCACTCTTTTCTAAATTATAATGACACAGTGTACTAATGAAAATGTTACTGTAACATTTTCACAACTAAATTAAGAAGCTCCTTTTGCTCTTTCAGTTGTTCCATGTAGCAATTTGTGCACATTAGCATTCTCCCATTTTTTTTATTGTTTGCTTAAATATAAGTACTGACTTTTTAAGAGTCTCGTTTTTTGAGGATTGGCTTGTAATTTAAAGACATAACAGTGCAATATGAATATAAAAAAATTATTTATGGAACACAGCATGCAAAAAAAAATGAGGCCTTGATAGTCCATCAAATGGTTTTAGTCTTAAGTTAGGGATATGCCTTAGAATTGTGCGTACTTTGCAGATATTCTCATTTGCTTTTTGTTTGAAGGTCAGTGGGATGACGCCTACTAATGGAAACTGCATGTGTTATTTTCATAGGACCATCAGGACCCAAACGAAGCATTCGCCCTCTGGCTGAAGAGAAAACGGGAACAACAAATCAGAGAAAAGCAAATGGAAGCAATGAGAAAGCAGGAACAAGAATACAATTTAAAAGCCCACGCAAAAGAAGATTCTGAAAAGGCTTTTAAACAGTAAGCACATTTTGGCACTAGTTGCCATAGCTTATTTAATTATGTACTGTACTGATCTGGATTTGTAATTTAAAGTGAGGATAAGAAGTGTGTGTGGTCACAGAATGAGGAGGGATACAGGGGCACTATGACATTGTTTTGCAGAAGTGGGTTGGAATATTTATTTATTTCTGTTAAAGTATCATTTATCATTTTACTCCTCTACTGTTACACACGGGAAAAGGGGACCTGCATATTTTTAATCTGCTAGCCGTTAAATTCATAATTCACTTTGATTCAAAGTGTTATTTTTCTTTCATCTATAAATCTTCCCAGGTGGCTAAAAAGAAAAAAGATTCAGAAACGTGCAGAGCAGTTGGCTGCAAAAGAACGGTCTCGGAGGTATGTGATGGAAGCTAGAGAAGCAAGAAGAATGCAGGACATACTATACAGCATTAACGGAGACAGGTCATTACAATTTGACGATAGTTGCAGATTCTAGTGAAATTCTGGAGATGTTCTATTTCTCTTTCCAGCTGAAATGCCTCAATGCAGATAGGTTTCTACTAGGGCTGAAACCTTAAGGTGTGAGCACTTCTGAAGTGATTACGGCAATGCTACCTTTTCATGATGTTTCATCTGTACTTTAATTTCAGAATTTGCAGGTAGCATTGCATAAAACACTGTTAGGGTGTAATAAATACCTACACAAGACCTTCTGTTGTTCACCATATCTTTTCTTCTCTAGTGGAAAAAAATCCTTTTTGAATTTAAAAGCTTCACGCCAGCCTTATCAGGTCAACTAATGTCAAAGAAGTTTTGTCACTCTGAAGTTGGACAAGAAGCTTAATAGCAATTGACTTCAAATAAACAACTCAGTGTACCTATTTGGCGTGCATGCAGACTGATAACATCAGAGTTCTAATGATAGTGTTTTAGGCTTCACTACTATAATAAGTAAATATATATTTAAAAGTTGTACCATTTCCAAATTGTGATGATGGACAGGTATCCTCCTTGACCTCTATCATACCTCAACGTAGAAGTATTAGGTGAACAAGAATTGCCTTGTATGATTTTTTTATTCTCTTCCTCCCTCTTCCCCCATTCTCAGATTTTCTCCCTCCTATTTGGAAGGTGCCTAAGCTCCACAAAGTGACTTCCTTAGGTTAAAATTGGGATTTGCCTTGCATTGATCCAAGGCTCAACCCTATATACAAAGGAAAATCATAATGTCTAGGACTGGAAAAAACTAGGTGGTTCCGAAGTTAAAAATATTGTTCGGTACACTTTATCTCTTATATCCCGTTATTGATTTTTTTTCCCCCAAGCCAAATTGCTATCTAATTCCCTTTTGAATTTGGTAATACCAATGTGCTCCACCTACACCCTTCCCCATTTATACTATTTATATTAACTATTTGAAACTCTAAAGCAAACTGATATATTTTCCATATATTTTAGAGATAATTAAATAATGGTAATTAATACCATTAATTCTTCCCTTTTAAAAATTGTATCTTTTCATTTCTCCATTTATTTAAAATATTATTTATTCAACTATAATACTAAATTGAACCAAATCAATTTACTGTAGACAAACAATAATACTGCGATAGTAAAAGTGAAATTTATTTGAAACCTCATAAATGTCATCTATTAGACTTCACTATACAGATATTAAAATGAGAGCTATACACAGAGAATATATTTACTTTCAGGAAAAGTAGCAGAAAAGTTTATTGTTCAGTCAGTGGGTTGTGGTGTTGCAGTGGTATTGTTGTATTTACATAAAAATATACTGTATTTTGATATTGTATATTTTGTATTTTAATTTCATAACAAAAAGATGTTATTGGTATAAATGCTTTTTCAGGACAAACAGAGACTTGATATTATTTATTTAGTATTTATTCCATTAATTCTTCCCTTTTTAATTTTGGCCACAAAATACAGTCAATCCACTTTACAATATATTCTGTGAAGCACTTTGGGGTGTCGCAACGACGTAATAAGATGCTATATGTCAAATACAAGGATGATAATGATTATGATTATAACATTTTTTGTTAAATTGGCTTATTACGTTTTAATTTGTTATCCAAAATTTGATATTAAAGGATTCTGGTTCGGGCTGGCTGAAGGCTTATTAGCATCATTTTCATTTTTTAAAAAAATGTGTTTTATTAAGTAAAACGTGGGAATTTATGGGGAGAAAAATAAGGATATTTTAAGGGTATTTTGCTATTCTTGGCTATTTAAAGAATGACTGGTAACATAGAATCCTGAGGATATCAGTACAGCGTGATTAATGTCAGTAAGGTACAAAATATTTTCATTGTATAATAATAATAATCCTTGCATTTAATATAGCGCTTTTCACGTCTTCACGACGTCTCAGAGCGCTTCACAGAATAGACTGTAAAGTGAATTGACTGTGTATTTGTAGGCGCAACGTGGCAGCCAACTTCTAATTGCAAAAGGGATTAAGGGATATAGGGATAAGGCAGGGTCAGGTTATTAGCTGGAGTTAGATTAGAAGATCAGCCATGATTAAATGGCAGGGCAGGCTCGAAGGGCTGAATGGACTGCTCCTGCTCCTACATGTTATGTCAGCAGTATCCCACAAACAGTCGTGGATTGAAAATGACCAATTTATTTTTGTTTTGGAGGGATTATTATTAGGCGTATAGAGTAAGAAAACTTGCCCAAGGTTTTGCTCTGCCTGAAATTGAACCCAGGTGTCTCGCTTGTAAACAGACCTAATGCCGTGACGAAACATGGCAATGAATAATCAGGCTGGATTCTTTAAAATGCGCTCTAATGTACCTCTGCACAGACCAACAATTAGGTTCTGTATATCTCAATTTGTTAACCTTAATTATGTTTAAGGTATACAAATGCCCTAGTAAATAAACAGTAAATAAACAGAATTGCCATGGTGGAAAAAATCTTTATAATAGTTTTGACTATTTTCAGACTTCATCATTTACACTTCAGCTGATTTATTTGCAATTCGCATTCAATTCCAAAAATACACATTCTTGCAACTATGGCAAAACGAGGGACAGAAGTACTCTGCATGGAATATTTGTGTTCAAAATAAACAAATAATTGGCTAGGAACACTTGTGAGTGATGAGGTGCTTCCAGCTCTGCAATGTAAACTAAAGCTCCATCTACTAATACACCGACTCCTACTGATAAAGATTGATTACATAAGTGCGCTATCTATAGTATTTACATTACCAGTTGAATATATCTTCAAAATGAACTATTAGCCTGCACAAGCAGTAATAGAATTGATGTATAATGTTCTTTAGTAAAGGAATTTATGAATGTCTGAATGCATTATTCAGTATTTGTTCCACCTAACGTAATATGCGTCCCATGGAAGAAATCACTGGATATTTATTCCTTTGTATTTTTATAGCACCCTGCAGTCATGTGGAATCACACACCCTGTGTTCGTGTGAAACATAGAAGTTCCACATAAATCCAGCATGTTCTTTTTTTTCTCCTATTGTTGGCATCTATTGGATTATGTTTGAAATGTCACATAGGAAGCCCATTTCTCTGTGATACGCCACATTCTGCTAATTTGTACAATACAAATTTGTTTGAACTAAAGCATTTGAACTGCTTTAACTTCTTGATATCCGAATTTAATTTTGACATTGATTGTAGAAACCTTTTCTCTACTGCCATTTGCCGCAGATTATTCCAAGTACACTGCCTCTGTTGTTTTATCTTTGATGTGTAGGCATTTTCGGGGTCTGCATTTTCTTTGCTAGTCATTATGGGTTGCCTCATGTACAGAACAGCCTTGCAATTAGTGCCTCTTAAGAATTTTTAAGTATTGAAGACACGATAAGGTGCTATATCAAATGCAAGTATCATTATTGACGAGGCAGAAACTCAATTGTACAATTTGGGCCCCAAATCACATGGATTATCTGCCTCGGTAAACTCATTCTCTACTTGGTTATGGTAATCACTAACTAATGACCGGGTCTGAGACTGTGGCCAACGATTATGTTATTTAATTAAAACTTCTTGAACTTTCAAGGCATTGAGTCGCTGATTGTGCTGAACTGATTTTCCCAGGCATCCTTCATGCAATTATCAAGAAGTGGCAATAACATTAATTCACAGGCAAACATTATCAGGATTGTAGGTCATTGAGGTCAAGTTGAGACCAAATGCCTACTAAATCAGCGACAACCAATTGGCTAAAAAACAAAATGATCAGTTATGTCTGGATGGTAGTTTCTGATACACCCAAGCCTTATGTGCTCTAACATTCATTTCCTGGTGATGTTTATTTAGTGTGGGAAGTAGGTGATTTTTTTTTAAACAAAGGGACAGGATTTCCTCGACTTTCTGTTTGGATTGATTAACTTGAATAACAAATAATTTGGAGCATTTTAAGTAGTTAGTGTTGAGTGATTTTGCATAATGAAACTTTCAAAGGGAACATTAAATTGCATAAATGTAATATTGATAATGATCCACACCAGGTTTATCTTTCTGTACTGTAAGTAGACTGACTTTAGCACTTTGAACATTTTCTAGTAATCAACAGATACTGTAATGATTTGTATAAACACAAAGGCAAATATTCACTCATTCCTTACTTCCTTACAGGGAATAAGGAATGGGTGAAAACTCATGTGAAAGATAAACACTGGCATGGATTGGTTGAGCTGAGCGGCTTGTTTCTGTGCTGTATGTTCTTTGTAAGTCTTTGTAAACTCGCTCACTGTATATCCTATTGTATTTAGATAACTTATTTTTATAATTAAAGTGCTATTTTACTGCACAAATTGCTAATTGATGTGAAAAAGTTATCATTGTAATTGAATTATTTAACAGCATGCAAAATCCTCACAGATCTCACATTTTCTTGGAAACCCTAAATACAAATTAGTTTCCGGAAGCCAGGGCAACATCTTGAGTGATAGAAGACAGCTACTAACTTGCTTTCAGCTTAAGTGTTATGAGAGGTAATAGGATTAACTGAACTTAATTGCATATTTAAATAGAAATTTACAGCACAGAAGGCAACCACTAGGCCAATTGTGTCTGCGCTGATTTTAAGAGCAATACTTTGATTCCCAACACTCCTGTAGTCAACTCCTTTTAAGATATACTAAAACCGTTAGTAGGACTAATGCGGGGTGAGGGGAGTAGAGAAAATCTAGTTCAACAAGCTGGAATTTTCAGTTGTGTAATTACAGTACTGGCATTCACCGGCTTTTTTCAGTGCCAAAAAATGCCAGTTCTGCAGTGTAATTATTTGAATCCCGCAAGCAGCAGAGAATAAGCTATCTGCTTACAGGATTCAAACTGAATGAAAGCCGACCGCCCTGGCCGCTGAGGGCCAACAAGGACGGTAAGTTGGAGTTGGCTGGGCGGGAGTCTACATGGATAGGACCCCGCAACATTTTTAAATGTTTCAGTACAAATTCTAGATATCTGAAGTCTGGTAAGCGGGGGTTTCTGTATTTGTTCTTTTTTAAATTCAGATTATTTTAAGTGAAAATCTGAGGCATTTGACTGTCTAAATTTAAAATGATAGTATATGTAATTACAGGAGTACATAAGAAAACATATAACAGAAATCTTTGGGTACCGAGAGACCACTGCTTCCACAGAATCCTTCTTGCAAAATCTACTGACAAGAACTCATGCCACCCTCGTAATTTCTTGGGGGACTTTGTGGGCAAATATTTACTGATCCCCAGAGTCAAGGCAAAATTAAAGAATATTCAGTCATTGTCACATATCGAATATTGAATCCTGGCCTTCAGTGTTCAAGAAAGACCACTTGTTGGTACATTTGTCAAACAGAGGCAGACATTAACAATGTGATAAATCACATTAACGTCTGTAAATTTACCAACAAATGGAAAACAATACTCGGTTTCTTCACAAATATTTAAATGGAAAAGCAGCTATGTTTTAAAAAAAAATCCATAGCTATGTGGAGATTTCTTTGCTATCCCATGAAACTTGCACAATAAAATGATGTAAAATACTGTCAAATAATTGCAGAACAAATAGAACTATTGCAGATTTTTGNAAAAAAACATAAGCATTTGCTTATTTCTATCACTTTGCTTTCTTCTGTTTTAATAAAAATAAATGTACATTCATTATTAAATATTCAAAGACTTAATATTTAAAGTGATTGTACTATATTTCCCATTTGGAATGAATATGTTCATAAATGTATTTCATTAAAAACATGTATCTGGTTGAACACATATATAATCTGTTAAATAAATACTTTGACTTAATAACCGTATGGAAACTTATTTTATACTTAAAACAAAATGCTGCTAGGTATTTAAATTTCTGTTAAGTTAAGGTGGATATGAAATCTAGGGAAAACATATCTAAGGCAATAATGATCAAAATAACAAAACTTAAAATTGAACGAAATTCAAATTTAATTTTGGGTGAGATGCTAAACAGAGGTTCCATCTACTCTTACCTTTAACAGGTAAACATTAAGGATTCCATAGGACTATTTGAAAAGATGAAGGAGTTTCTGTCAGTGTCCTGGCTAACAATCCCCCAAATAAAAAATAATTCGCTTCATGGCTGTTTGTGGGACTTTGCTGTGTGCAAATTGGCTGCTGTGTTCACCAAAATACAGTCACTCCATTTTACAATATATCCTGTGAAGTGCTTTGGGACTTTCTTGACGTGATCAAATGTAAAGATTATTATTAAATCAATTGGAAATTGAGTTTACATTGTATTCAAAAAGGGAATACTCGGGCTGCTCTGAGGGCATAAGCCCGAAAAGCATTGACTGGTACAAACACAAAGCTATGCAGACTGAAAGGTTGCAGGTTACCTGATTGCAGTTGGACATACTAAAAATTGATCTCAGTGTCACAACGTGCAGGAGAGAATTCAGGGAGGATTAAGGACTGAACAGTCTGTTTTGGGGGTATAATTGGGTGGATTTCAGATGAGACGTACATGTCCCAATGTTAAATAGCATGTCAACTGCATCTGGTTTGAATACTCTTAAGTACAGCACTGCTCAGAGAATCGCTGGTTAAAGAGTTGTGAATAATAATCATTGGGAAATTGAAGAAGTGTCCCAGAGGCAAAATTCTTCATTGGATTGTTTTGACAGTCATTCAAACAATTTACATAAGATCCACAATCACAAAAAAAATCTGTTCACCTTACACTAAAGATTCGAAAAACACAAATTTTCAGCCAATCTATGAAATTTACGAAATCTAATTTTTGTACAGTACATACATAATACACATACATCCTATTAAAAAACAAAAAAAACATCCCCAAGATTCCTTTAAGGTGATACTGTTGATCAAAATACACAGACATCATTGCAAATTTAATATTTATTATTGGAATCACTTCCAAATTTTCACTTAATTGAAGACCAAAATAACTTGACTGAACATTTTGTAACAGTTTACATGGTTGGTTCAAGATCTTTGCTCCAAATCACTGTAAATGTGGCAGAAAAAGTAATGCTTGCACCTTCAGCAGACGGACTCTGTTCTCAAAAGAAAATTAAAGGAAGGTTTCTGAACCACAAAACAGCAACCCAAATGCAAAATGAGGAAATATCATGATTAGAGGAACCCTTTTTCTGAGGTAAATATTTAGATACTAGCAAAAGTGAGGAACTAGGGTGTGTGTGATGGGGGAGGGAGAAAGAAAATAGGTGGGGAAGAGAGGAAAAATAATGTACACAAGATACAAAGATACATATACACACACACACACATTTAAGAGCTTCCCTAAAAAAATAGTCTTTGAAATGTGTAAGAAAACTCATGTGCTACACTGTATATATTAAATGTATAGAGCTTCCAAATACTGCTCGTTTTATTCAACCTGTAAGCAGGAAAGGTAGTGATTACACAAGTCCTGCTGCCAATCGGCATCCAATTGAAAACTTTCACAAGACTATCAATTCTCCATTGCATTGGTTACAACAATTAAAGGTGATATTTTCATATCTAGTATATGGATGAAATCGTCCAATGCTTTTCTTGTTAGACAGAAAAGAAGTTGGTGATGTTTCACAGAATGACAAGTCTACAGTTCCTGTACTGAACGTGGTAGGGTCCAACATCTTTAAAACCTGAAGAAAATACACAAATTTAGTGAATTTGAATATTAAAATATAGTAAAAACAATTATGTTACTAAGTCCACTGTCATTATTCTTTGAGAACCCGCTACTTAGGCAATAATTGAAAAATTAATGGAATCAATCAGAAGGAAACTAGAAGAGTACCTATATGAAAATAACCTAATGAGAGCAACGTGGCTTCAGAAGGAATGGACCTTGCATTTCTTTTAAAATAAAACTTTTAAAAACACAAGTTGAGGATATCCCAATTTAACTGGCAAGAATCATATAATGTAGACTCCAAAAAGGCATTTGACAAAGTATCATTGGCAAACAAAGTTTAATATGGACAAATGGAAGCAAAGTTCTTGTAATTTGGAAGCAAAAAATGAACAAGCGGAAAGTTGAAACTAACTTAGGATAAACAGCTGATTGAATAATAAAGAAAAGCATGCCAAATTATTGAGTTCAAATATCCCACAATGAAAATAACCCAATAATAATAGCCAACATGACTTCGGAAGTTGTGTACATTGTCTGCTCTGGACAACATTTAAAAAAAAACATGCCAAATTGACAAGTGTGTAATATCATACAATTTAGATGTTGAATCTAAATGCTCTGGTAAGGCTACACTTAGAGCACTGCACCTGGACCACTACAGGTGCTGCTGCACAGTGGGGCGTTTGAGACCCAAGAATCAGTGCAGGGGATAGAAATATGAAATCCTATCCTGTTTCACCAACAATCATTTTTACGGTAACTTTGTGAAATGTATGGTTACGAATCACCAACCAAAACAAAAATCATACCTTTTCAGCCATTTTTTCAGCAGGTGTGTTGCTGAACTCCACTGCTTGGTTCATTTGTCGTGCATTAGTTGAGTCCACTTTTCCGAGAAGGTGAGAATTAACAGCCTCTGCTAATTTGTGATTCGCAGAGGCAAGCTCTGCTGTCGTGTTTGCTTGTGCATTAGGGTAGTAGGTTTGCTGACGCCCCCACTGCAGAGATACCAACAGCTTTTCGAGTAACCTGCACAATAGATTATTTTGTTAATATATCTGCACTAAATGAATCTGTTCAACTTGATCATTTTCTTTGAGCTATCCCAATGTCTATTCCAGCACAGTACTACAGTAGTAGTGATCGATAGTGAAACATAGTCTTCTTGGAGGGGCAGCAAGTTCTGAAAGAGAGCTTTGGATTCAGTATTATCCAAAGCTCCCATTCTTGCTAAACTCAAAGAAGCTGCTCCTCCTCGCAGAGCATATAATGGTTTCCCTCAGGAGGAATAGATCCCAAATATGTTACTGAAGCAATACATCTTTGGGAATGGATTGAATTAAAAGAGCACTATTTTTAGTTTGGCTAAATTAAATTAAAAACATTCCTTCGGACTTCAGTTGCCCTTCAATTAAATGAACTTTATGGGGAGCAATATTTGATGAATATTTGCAGTAATTTATTTACTGAAGTTTTCTTGCTGAGTTTATAGGCGATTGAAAAATCTTAATCAGTTGCAGTCATTTAAATTTATTGAAAGAATTGTTTTCAGAATTTTTCCAGTTTCAGAGTTCAATACTATAACTATGATCAGAGCAGAGAAAGCAAAAAACAAACCCGTGTGAGGCAACCATCTCCTGACGAAACTGCTCCCGTTCACTAAGAAGATCATGGATTGCACTTTGGGCTTCTCTATTGTGACGTTGGAGAGATGTCCTGGCATTGGTCAGCTCATCTGCCATCACTCTTGAATTGGGGAGGGAAAGAGAGAGGAAAAGGAAAATATATATTTTTTAAATTACTGACTATTAAAAGTTTAGAACAAATATGTAATTAGTAGATTTATAAGCTGTCCCTACTTAAGACATGGAAAGTAAGCAAACAGTTAACAGAATCATTAACCATGAGCCAAACTTAACATTGGATGCAGAACTTTAAAACTTGGAAATTACAGGAAACCATTTCTTCTAAGCAACAACAACAAATTACACTTACATAGTGCCCTTCACATCAGAAACATGTCCCAGGGCGCTGGGCCTTAGATTGCTTAAAATAAAGCAATTTAAGATTTATTCAATTTTTGAAACAGAATCAAACTGACTGCATTATTTTAACAACCATAGACTACAATTTTTGAGTATAACATTTCGAAATGATTTAAACAAATGTTTTCCTCTGAGAAATGCAAATTTAAATATGTACTGTTCAGAATAAAGGGTGAAGGGAAATTTCCTCTCCAAATTTTTTCTTCTCTTTAGAATGAAATCAAATTGTGATACCACATCACCGGGTTAGGTTCTTGTTGCATGGAGACGTTAAGCTTATTAAATTCAATATTCTTTTTCTAAACCGTTTTCTATTCTCACTTAACATTCAAGACCATGAAATTCTATTCTTCAAAAAATACAATCACCTTCAAGAATTTGGACAGTACATTTAACATTGCATTTGATGTACACAATATGCATATGACGGGGATTATGTGGATTGTCTCTAAGATGTACCCACCTAGGTAAGTCAGCTACAGCATTGTGAGGAAAGGGCAGGTTCATAGGACTGAAAAGACTGCTCTTAAAAGGACCAGCACAGACACAATATGCCGAATGGACTTCTTTCCGTACTGTAAATTTCTATGGTTCTAAGTGAGCACATCCCATCTTCTGGTTAGTAAATCACTATTTTACTATCGCACACAAAGTAGCAATAATGTACACAGCTCATAGCATTTGACCAAATAGCTGTGCACCTTAAAAAATACTGGATGATTAATAGTTGGTATTAGGAAAGATAACTAGTAAAGACAAAGCATTCTACGATGGGAATGACAAACTAGTATTGGCTCTTCCACACTTGGGGAGTAAACCACATTGTGCCTTACAGTCATCCCTGTCCAATTAACATAAAATGCATAGTAATAGGTGGTGTGGGAGGTTTGGAGAACTTTGTAAATAAAGCAGTGTGAGTGCTGGTTTATTTTAGTCCAGCTTGTAAGCAATTTTGATATAAATCACCATAGAACAACCTGCTTGCAAGGAACTTGCTCCGCCACACATCGCACTGGATGGTCATCCGTTCAAACTGTTCTGAGAGCTGAGCAAGGTTTCGACTCAATGTCTCATTTTCCAGGATTAGTTGATTTTTTTCACGAGCCATGCGTTCAAACTGATATTGAAGATCATTGCCAACAGAAGCTATGAGCAGTTTCTTCAGCTCACGATTCACCTAAACACAATAAGAATACATCTTTCAAGGCCTTAAATAATTAAATCTGTTTAAGATAACCTGAAATTAAAAGAAATGTGTTTATACAGAATATGTTTCTATAACTACAGAAATTTATCAGACAGAAAGATACAACACCTGCAAGAATAGGTTTTTATATCTTATGTGATGGATGGAGAAAAACAGAATTGAAACAGGAAAAATGTTGTTTTATATAAACTGTAAGAACTATTTGAGACAGACGTATCGTTTTAAACTCATTGGGCTATCTGGCTGTACAGTCAATAAAACTTTCAACAGCTAAATCTTTTTTTATTGGGAAATAACGTCTCCAAAATTCTGAGCTAATAGACTGTATATAATCTTTCCAAAGTGAATTTGCAGAGGTTATTTTGTACGCTTTATTCGCCATACCTGGTGCATTCTTAATAACCCCTAATTCAAACAAGTTAGGCTTCCACCAATGGGGGGTAGGAGTAGGGGGTGGCCGAAGGCACGGTCGAAGAGAAGGGTCTTGAGACGTGCCCTGAGGGAGGCAAAGGAGGGAGCGAGGCAAAAGGAATGTAATCCTAGAATGATGGATGTGGTTAACACATCTTAACCTCTCCAAACTAAAATGAATACTCTTCAATAAAAAAGACCAGGATTTTTAATTTTATAGTGCGTTAGAAACTAAGGAAGGAGAAAATAAATGCTTCAAGGTATACAGATGCACTACACCGGGTCAAAGCACCATCTAAGCAGCAGGGATAATAATAATAATCCTTGGATTTGATATAGCGCCTTGTAGCGTAACTGTCTATCCAGTGCCTTGGGATATCCTTCCGAAGTGAAAGGCGCTTTACAAATGTAATTTTGTTGTTGTTATGTCTTTTCAGAGTCTCAAAACGCTTCACAGAATAAACTGTAAAGTGAATTAACTGTCTATTTTGTGGGCAAAATAAAATTTCCTTTTTTGAAGGAATTATTATCCTCGGAAAAGCATTCCGCCAATCGACTAACAACTGGGTTCCTACTTACTGCTAGGTAAACAGAGGCGTGTGGAGTAAGGAAACTCGTCCAACATTTAGCCCTGCCGAGGATCGAACGCAGGTCTCTCGCTTGTGAGGCGAGCGCTCTGACCACTGAGCTACAGGATTCCACGTGGAGTTTTAAGTACGTGTTATCTCACCTCAGTCTGAACCCGGATTTGATTGGCAAGCCCTTCTTTATCTTGCAGTAGTTTTCTCTCAGAATTTTGTAGTTTTTCAAAAGAAGCTTTCAATTCGGTCAGTTCTCTCTTGAGATCGTTTGTGCTCTCCAGGTGACTCAAGGCCTCTCCTTTGTGAGAAGCTGCAAAGTCGGTTGTACTCTTTGCTGGAACATCATGAATTATAGCAGCTTTGGGAACTAAAATTCTAATAGCTTCCACCTCAACTGCTTGTCCAGCTTGAATCTTCCCAAGCTGAAGAACGCCGGGCTTCGTGACAATTTGGGAAGAATTGGAGACTACATGAATTTGTGGACTGTAATGACTTTTGTTATTTATCCCTTTGGTTTTTTCCATAGATTTTGCATTTTTTTCTGTTTCCATTCCATCTCCAGGTCTCCGAACAGGATGAACTGTTTGAACTAATTGCACAAAAGAAAGGAATAACCTTTAGATTATTATTTAGATACTTAATAAATAACTCTACAAGTAAACTAAAAGCACAATTAAATTCCAGCATTAATAGATACAAACGGAAATACCTTTATCCTCCATTTTCACAAATGGTGCAATTTTCCCAAAGAAGCTGTTGAAATTGTAATTCTCAGTTTTCATTCTGGGGGAAAAAAAGTTGGAGAGGATTTTCCATCTTTCTTAAAATAAAATTTGGAACATTAAAGATAGATTATTACATCTCATGCATTATAAACCAGAGCACCTGAAGTGGCACAGTATTTTGCTGGAAATACTTTTGAAATTTAATAGCTTGTCATAATTCAGATACATGCAATAAAAACCAACAAAAAACCCAATTAGTTTCACAAAATGCATCAGGATACGGACTTTTAAACTACAAATACCTAGGTAAATAACTATGAATAGCAGATAACTATTTACACAAAACTTGATATAGATTGGCTATTTACAATAAACCACAAATGGCCACAAAATAAAGTGAACTATATATTCACTATACAGTATATTCTGTGAGACTTTGAAACATCTCAATGACGTGATAAGATGCTATATTAAATGCAAGGATTATTATTATACCAAGGTTTCTACAGTAATTTTGGAGGGTTTCTGCTTTTGATAGCGTACAAGAAATTGTTTTGTGCTGGAAGGATCAATTTGGTAAAAGTTGCAAAATTAGGTACATCATAATGCTAACTCGGTGAATATTAAATAAAGAAATTTAACAACTTCTTCATGGAATTTTAAAGGGCAGGTTGCATAAACTTGGTCTCTATTCCCTTGAGTTTAGAAGGTTGAGGGGTGATCTGATTGAGGTTTTTAAAATAATAAAGGAAATCGATAGGGTAGATACAAAGGGTAGATACAGAGGGTAGATATATTTCTTGACAGCATCACCATCCGTGGTTGCACACTCCATCTTACTAAGCCAGTCTAGAACCTTGTTTCACCCTCAACTATCCTTTCTACCCCACATCTGCATCATGACCCACTCTGCCTTCCCCCATCTCCGCAATGTTGCCCAGCTCTGCCACTGTCTCACACCGCAGGCCATCAAAACCTCATACATGCTACCTCTGTGACTTCCTCAACCCCCTACCATCCTGTTCGCTCTCTCGGCTCAGCGGGCTCTGGTCTGCTTCACGTCCCCCGCCTTGCTCACCCCACTATTGGCAGGCGGGCCTTCCGCCACTCTGCCCCCACCCTCTGGAACTCCATCCCTGCACCTCGCCCCCTTCCTTGCCACTTTCAAGACCTGTCTCAAGATCCTACTCTTCGACTGTGCTTTCGATCTCCCTGCTCCCCCCCCCTGCCCTCTACCCTCCCCAACCCCGACCCCCAGCTCAGGTCTGTAACCCTGTCTATCCAGTGCCTTGGGACATCCTCCCGACGTGAAAGGCACTTTACAAATGTAATTTTGTTGTTGTTGTTCCTCTGGTTGAGTAATCCAGAATAAGGGGGCATAATGTTAATATTAGAGCTAGGCCATTTGGCAGTGAAATTAGGAGGCAGTTTTTCACCCAAAGTTGTAGTGGAAATCTTGAACTCTCTCTCCCAAAAGGATGTGGATGCTGGATCCATTTACATTTACAAGACTGAGGTGGATAGATATTTATTAGGCTGGGGTATGATGGGATACGGGGCAAGGGTGGGTAATTGGATTTGAAGTACAGATCAGCCATGATTTTATAAAATGGTGGAATAGACTCGAGGGGCTGAATGGCCTACTTCTGAATGAATAAAATTGGTAGAATATTACTAACAGTATGTAATTTTGAGACTAATATTTTGAAAATAATGGGTCTAATGCCAAAGTTTCAAACTTAGATTTTAGTAGTTTTATAATACATTATGTCAAATATTTTGTACTTTTCTTTAAAATTCAATTTCATCACAGATAATTTAAGATCATAGAAGGATTGTATAAATACTACATTCATACATAGAAACTCCAGTGTGCAAAGTGAAGTTTTACTTTCTTCACCCATAGNTTTTTTATAAAACATTTGAATACTGCAACCACTTAACTAAATATTGCACCTAAATATTATACTTCAAGAATTTGCTGCATCTTGTTATCATGGGTAGTTTTTACTCAAAAATACTTAAATATTAATAGTCTACAGGCTATTGACCTATGATGGAGAAATTGAGGAAATAGGCTTATTTTCAATGAAACAGAGGACAGAGGTCTCTAAAATTAAGAGGGGTATTTGACAAGAGTAGAAAAAGGGAATCATCTTCACTGGTGGGTGAGTCAGTAACTAGACAGCATTGACTCAACATAATTAACAAGAGAGCAAAGGGGGTGTGGGGTGGTTTCACAGAGATAATAGGAGTATTGTATAAAACAATGTAGGTTGTACACAGAGAGTAATCCTGTCAGTTGTTAGGAGGTGTAACATGTCAAAAACAAGCACAGCTCCAGGTTGTTTAACGAGGGCTGCGAACTGACTCACCCCCACATCTCTTTCTCTCTCTCGCACACACTCACGAGAGAAAAAACACAATCTTTCCCGACGCCAAGCGAACAACAAAGGGTCTGCATAGGTTTTTCCCCTCTATATAGGAAGATAATAATAATAATAATCCTTGCATTTGATATAGCGTTTTTCACGTCGGGAGGACGTCCCAAAGCGCTTCACAGAACACACTGTAAAGTGAATCGACTGTATATTTGTGGGCGAACGCGGCAGCCAATTGCCCACAGCAATGTCCCACCAACAGTCGTGGGTTGAAAATGACCAATTTATTATTGGTTTTTTTTTTTTGGGGGGGGGGGGGGAGGGATTATTATTAGGGCTCTGCGTGGAGTGAGGAAACTTGCCCAAGGTTTCGCCCTGACCTGCCGGGAATTGAACCCAGGTCTCTCGCTCGCAAAGCGAGTGCATTAAGATGGAAACAGATCTATCAAATGCAAGGATTATTATTATTGTTGTTGTTGTTGTTGTTAATGACAGGAGGGAGCTGCCCGGGCCATTCGCTCGTCCAAGATCAATTTGAAGATACTTGACCAGAGAGAGGAGGAGGAGGAGGGAGGAGTGGGGGATATTAGATGTTATTTCTGTGAATATTAATAAATAATATGACTCAATGGATAACACACTGAAGCACAGGACTTGGTTGGAGCCGCTGATACTCACTCGCTCACTCACTCACTCGGCCGCCGGCTCCGTGGCCAGTCAGGGCCGCGAGCAGCTTCCGGCAGCCGCGCCGCTCACTTCCGGTGGCTCTCCCCGCTCACCTTTGACCCTCTCCGCGCGCGCGCGCGCGCGCACACACACACACAAGCCCCGCCCCCGCCCGCCCGCCGCCGCCGCCGCCGTCGTCGACGTCAGAGAAAGCCCATTGTTTTGGTCATTTCACTCGTCTGTTTGTTTGTTTGTGTTGTTTGTTTGTAAACGCGGAGCGAGAAACAATAACAACAAAGTGCGAAGCGAAGTGCGACAGGTCTCAGGGTAAACGGTAACGGGGTTCGGTTTTAAACCGTCATCTCTCACACACACACACCACCCCCCCCCCCCCCCATCACTGCCCCCCACCCCCCCCCCTCCCCGGGGGAAAAAAATCCCAGGAGCTGCGCGTCGGTTGCTAAGGGACGAGGCGCACGTCCAGGGCCCAAGAGAGTGAGTGAGGGAGTGAGTGAGTGAGTGTGCGAGTGAGTGAAGCCGAGCTCCACACACACACACACTCACACACACACACACACACACACATATAGAGTGGTGAGTTAGGAGGGAGACACAGTTGACCGTCCCCAACACAGCGAGGAGAGGAGAGGAGAGGAGAGACGAGCGAGGCCGGTCCCAAGCCAGGCCAAACACAGTGAGTGAGGACAGGAGCGGCTCAGAGTCAGCCCAGCATGGTGAGTGAGAGAGGAAAGGGCTCAGACTGCATCCAGACATGACCAGGGAGGGAGGAGAGGAATCTGAGGCCAGGCTCAAATTGCATCCAAACAAGAGTGAGTTGAGTGAGTTCCTGCCTTGTCTTGTGGTTACAAACCGTTGAGCTTTTTTTTTTGCTCAGGGCTTCTCAACTCTTTTTTTTTTTGCTCCGCCGGGTGCCTTGCCGCCTGCGGAAGCCCGATCACCGTGCCTTAGGCGTATCCAAACCAAGCTGAGGTCTCCGTGCATCCCGCCGGCACGTGGAGTCCTGCCGCTCGATGGTTAGAACACTCGCCTCGCAAGCGAGAGGTCTGGGTTCGATTCCCGGCAGGGCATAATGTTGGGCACTCCACACGCCTCAGTTTACTTAGCAGTAAGTAGGTACCCGGTTGTTAGTCGATTGGCAGATTGCTTTTTCGGGGGTAATATTCCGTTCAAAATAAAATAATGATAATAACTTCATCACTCAATCCACGACTGTTAGTGGGACACTTCTGTGTGCAATTGGCTGCCATATTTTGCCCACAAAATATACAACAGGTTACATTTGTAAAGTGCATTCAAGTCGGAAGGACGTTCCAAGGCACTGGACAGTCAGGGATTTGGACCCAAGCAGGGGTTGCGATCAAGGCGGTAGAGGGCAGGGAGGGTAGGAGATTGGCTGAATGCGCGGTCGAAGAGGAGGGTCTTGAGACATGTTTTGAAGTAGGCAAGGGAGGGAGCAAGATGAAGGGACTTGGGGATGGAGTTTCAGAAGATTGGGACAGAGAAGCTGAAGGCCCGACCGCCAATGGTGGGTCAGGCAGGGTAATTGGAGCAAGCGGAGCCTGCTGAGCGGAGGGAGAGAACAGGTTGATATGGGGTTAGCAGGTTACAGAGGTAAGAAGGAGCAAGGCCGTGGAGGACCTTGAAGGTGAGGATGAGGATTTTGAAATCTGTCCTCTGGGGATGGGGAACCAGTGGAGCTGGGCGAGGATGGGTTGATGGGGTCACAGAGCTTGGTGCGGAAGAGTACATGAGCTGCAGAGTTCTGGATGATCTGCTGCTTGCGGAAGGAACGCCGACAAGCAGACAGTAGTAGTAGTAGTCGAGCCTCGATGTAATAAATGTGTGATTGAGGGTTTCCGAGGCCTGAGGGAAGAGGCTGTGGTGGAGGTGGGGCAAGGCAGAGCGGCTCATGTCACTGATGTGGGATAGAAAGGACAGTTGAGGGTCAAACAAGAAGCCAGAGTTCTGGACTGGTTCAGTCAGGTGGAGTGTGGATCTATGAATGGAGATGCTGCCAGCGTCTGAGGTGAGGAGGCGCTGACAGGAGCCAATCAGGAGAGCCTCGGTCTTGTTAACGTTCAACTGAAGAAAGTTCGCTCCCATCCAGGACTTGATGTCTGACAGACATTCTGTCAGGACGGCAGTGGTCCTGGATTTGAGGGTGGAGATTTAGAAATACAGTTGGGTGTCATCCGCATCCATGTGAAAGTTGACCCCTGTATGGGTATGTCCCCATACAGTCAATTAACTTTACAGTTTATTCTATGAAGGGCAGTGAGGTGTCTCGAAGACGTAATAACTATATCAAATGCAAGGATTATTTTATTATTGATTATGTTGATGGGTTTCGCATAGGTTAGACTCCCCAAAGCTTTATATAGTGCCATACCACATCATCAAAACATCTCAAAATGCCTCACAGGATTTACTGTAGACTGTATTTGACAAATGACGAATCACTGTATGTGACCTTATCACTCCTCTATGTGACCTTATCTGGTACATTTCCTCCCTGGGGGCTGAGAGAAAGTTAATGTTAAACCTGAACTGTATTAAGTGTTGTTTTATTACAGGAACACATTCTGAGGAGTCATTTTATTTTAGTAATAATCCTTGTATTCAATAGAATGCCTTATCTGAAAGCGCTTCACAGAGACTGTATATTTGTAGACCGACACGGCAGCCATTTGTGCACAGCAATGTGTGACAAACATCCATGAAGTGAATGACCAATTTTATCTGGGGGATTGTTGGCCAGGGAACCCTTTTTGAATAGCGCCATTGCATCTTTAATTCAACCTGAACAGGCAGATGGGACCTCAGTTTAACATCTCATCCAAAGGATAGCGTCTCTAGCATTTTCCCAACACTGCACTGGAATGTCAGCCTGTGTGTTCAAGTACTACCAACTGAGCCAGGCTGTCATGCGAGTATCCTCTCTCAAGTTCTTTTATATATATATCTGCAGAAAAACACCTCAGAACTCAGGGAATTTGTTTGTTTACATTTAACCTGTTAACAGTAATTGTTTAAGTGCTCTGGGATGCTACCCTGTGTGAGGGGTGCTATATAAATGCAAGTTAGTTTTGTGTGTATTGGTCAGATTAAACTGAATTGTTACACTGTGTTAATAAAATACTAGCTACCTAACACAAAATATTGTTTTTGTTAGTATGAGAATGTGCAACTTTGTAGCTGAGGAGTTGTGGGACCAGCATTGTCTCTGAAATGGGGAATAATGTTTTATGGAAAAATATTATACTGTATTTATTTTGCTATCCTTGTTAAAAAGGCAATGTTTTATGATAGACATTCAGTTGTGGGCACATTCCAGAAAAGTGGTCGATCAAATTATGGTAAAAGATATGTTTAGTGCTTTTTCAGATTTTGTTTCAAATGATTCATTCACTTTGTAGCCCGTCCTTACAGAGCTGAGTGTCATCTATTTTGGGGTTGCTTCGCAAATCTGACAACAACAACAACACATTACATTTGTATGATGCCTTTCACATAACGTTTGTCTCTGTTCAGCTTGTAGATTTAAATATTAGTGCAAACACTTGACATCATGTGGCTTGTGGTAATATTTCTTCCCACTTGTCCCTGTAATTTGTGGATTTGTTTACTACTGAGATGCTAGAAAAGTCGCGATACAGAACTGGCAAAGTTAATTCCTAAAATAATAATAATAATAATCTTGCATTTGTTACAGTGCCTTATGTCATCATCAAACTGACAATGCAGTACACCTCCGGCACTGCAATGGAGTGTCACTTTAGACTGTGAGATCAATGGCCTGCTCCCTCTCGTGCACAGCTGGTGCATAGCGTGGTGAGATTACACAAGCAGAATTGTGGCTATCACTGGGCTACCACCCATTGACACAACAATGTTTCACATCGCTGTGGCAACCTCCTTGGCAAAAGTTAGTCAAATCTTCACCAACATAGATTAATTGAGGATTATGTTTGTTAACTGTTCATAAGGAACTTCAATTTTTGCAAAGATTGATTTAGAGTTCCAGTGTCACTTTGTGTCACTCTAATATTGCAAAGCCATTGAGCATCTGAATTTACTGTTTTACTCATTGGTGGAATGAGGTGAGCTAGAGAAACTGATGCCCACAGTTCGCAGTTGTCACGAGCCATTATGTTTTCTAACCCGTGAACCTACATAAAGATTCCCTTGTATGTGACAACTCTTGATTAAAACTAATATATTCTGGATTTCAGATTGAATCATGTGGTTGAAACTTTTGAATGCCACCACTGTTAGAAATACAGCAGTGTAGTGCAGAATTTAATAAGTGTTCTAAATTATTATTCTATGAACGGGGGAGAATTTCATTCTCTGCATTGATTATGCAATGTACCAGAGGTTTTTATGATGATAGTTGAATGTGCATTTTATTGTTTTCCATGCGCTTTAAAAACAGCATCTTAGTAGACTGTAATTAGAGGGAGACGACGACAACAAACAACAACAACTTGCATTTATACAGTGGGATAAAGTCCTAGAGGTCTTCACAGTGGCGGAATCTGACAAAGACAGTTCCAGAGTTTCGGACCGTAATGGCTGAAGGCACAGGCATCGATGGTGGAACAGATTGCACGAGGGGCAAACAGGAGGCCGGAGCCAGCTGAGCAAAGGCATAGTTAGGGAGGTGCAAGGGCATGAAGGGATTTGAAAACAAGTGAGAAGATCTTGAAATCGAATAAAATGTACTTGCAGTAGCGATTGATTTATAGTAAAATAACCTTACACTCCTTTAACTATTAAGCCATTGCAAGAAGGATAAAAAAGATGTTTTGAGATGAGGATTGGCAAAAGTACCAGCAATGTTGGGGAACTGAGCAATGCAGTGGGCCTCACACTCTACTTTCAACTCTGGGATCTAGATTTGAATCCAGTTCAGATTGATAAAAGGAAAGTCTCCTCTGCGGTTAGCTGCATAGATTTGAGAAGTCTTGAATTTATTACTAAAATAATTTTCCCGGGGCGGAACCCCATTGTCTCGTTTGACTCCATCTATCCTTCAAACCTTACGACCGTGCTTCAATGGTTCTACCTTCCCTCAATCTTCAGAACATTGTCTGTCTACACCATTACTTCTTCCATGAACCGCGAACATTTTAAAAACATTTTCAGTTTTGGGCACAGTCCAGCTTGGTTCACTTTCGGATACCTGGAATTTGCTAAACTGGGATTTATACTAAATGTAAATTGTTGTTATTCAGTGGCCAATGCTGGAAAGTGTGCTCATGTAGACAGAATCAGATTCAGCTGTGTTGCTCCACCCTCACATATACAACTGAAACCCTTCATTCCCTCGCACCCCTCTATCCGATTTCTTTACCCCCCCCCCACTCCACCATCTGCTGCCTCCACTCGGCCGACTCAGGCCTCCTGTTTATCCCTCGCCCCCTCCGCTCACCATCGGTGACTGGGCTTTCAGACACTATGCCCCGAAGCTCTGGAACTCCCTCCCTCAATCCCTCCGCCTTGTCCCCTCGCTCTCCACTTTCAAATCCCACCTAAAGACCTTCCTTTTTGTGCTTACGATCACATCCTCCCTCCCTCTCCCCCTGGCTTGGGGTCAGACTCCGCCACTGTCGAGCACTCTGGGACGCTACCCCATGTGAAGGGCACTATATAAATTCAAATTGTTGTTGTTGTTGTTGAATGCCTACTAATGCTGATTGACCAGGAGCAGGATAAACATGTGGAAAATGGCTTTTTTGGTGAGTTACACGATGGCTACTGGTGACCACGTAATCTTATTTCAGCTTGAGACATCAGGAGTAGATAGAAGAACATTTAATGAAAATGTTGGAGGCTTAGGAGCAAAACATTTCATTTAACAACTAGTCCCCACGTTTCATTGAAGGTTTATAACCCCAAATAAAGTTTCTGAGCATGTGCCTGCCGTGAAACTTTTTTTTCTTTAACATTGGGATCACGTGAAAGTTTGCTTATAGTCCAAACAGGTTCTCCCAATCTATGGTACATTAAGCTTGTGAATTTTCATGCCATTAGATGGCAGTATTTACTAGTTCATAGTGTTTACACAGTACTCTGCATTGTGTTTCAGCTTGAAGGTCATTTGAAAATGGCTGACTACTCAAATGTATACATTACAGTTTGCTACAATAATTTAAACTGAGGCTGTGGGATGAAAGTCTGAAAACAAGAGTATAGCAGATTTATCTCACAAGTATATCATTGATTTAGTGTACTATCTGCACAGAGCAAAATACAAACTAAGAATTCAGTCAAATTAACACTAAAGAAAATTGAAGCATTAATTACAGTAAACTACTACATCATAGGATTTTTTTGGAAGCTTATTTAAAATTAGTTTAACTGATTGTAATGCATAGTACCGTAATCTATCCAAATTCTCTATAGTTGTAGAGGAAATAAATTGTCTCCTTGGTCTGCTTGCTGCTCTTTCTGTGATATGTATGTATGTCCTTGCTGTGTTTTGCCAGCATGAATATAGGCTAGCGGTCACAAAAAAAAGTGTCCTCCATCTCCAAATTTTAGGGTTGAGTCAAAGTGGAGATTTTAGAGAAAGGAAATCGAAACAGATCAATTACAGTACAAACGTTAAGACAAAAGCAGCAGTGTGCAGGGAAAATGAGTGACAAAGATTAGTAATATCATCCACAAAACACATAGTTCATTTAGATGCTATACTGTCACCTGTACTGATGGCACTTCAGTACAGGTGACCTTTCTGATTAAAGGATTCAAGCGACCAGATTTCAGCACCAGACCTGGAATTGAGGGTGTCATTGAGAAATGGAAGCCAACAACCCAAATGTTACTCTGCCCTGACTCTCACACTCACACCCTGTGTGTGCCCTCCCCGTGACTCTCACACTCACACCCTGTGTGTGCCCTCCCCCTGACTCTCACACTCACACCCTGTGTGTGCCCTCCCCCTGACTCTCACACTCACACCCTGTGTGTGCCCTCCCCTGACTCTCACACTCACACCCTGTGTGTGCCCTCCCCGTGACTCTCACACTCACACCCTGTGTGTGCCCTCCCCCTGTCTCTCACACTCACACCCTGTGCGTGCTCTCCCCCTGACTCTCACACTCACACCCTGTGTGTGCCCTCCCCGTGACTCTCACACTCACACCCTGTGTGTGCCCTCCCCGTGACTCTCACACTCACACCCTGTGTGTGCCCTCCCCGTGACTCTCACACTCACACCCTGTGTGTGCCCTCCCCCTGACTCTCACACTCACACCCTGTGTGTGCCCTCCCCCTGACTCTCACACTCACACCCTGTGTGTGCCCTCCCCCTGACTCTCACACTCACACCCTGTGTGTGCCCTCCCCCTGACTCTCACACTCACACCCTGTGTGTGCCCTCCCCGTGACTCTCACACTCACACCCTGTGTGTGCCCTCCCCCTGACTCTCACACTCACACCCTGTGTGTGCCCTCCCCCTGACTCTCACACTCACACCCTGTGTGTGCCCTCCCCCTGACTCTCACACTCACACCCTGTGTGTGCCCTCCCCCTGACTCTCACACTCACACCCTGTGTGTGCCCTCCCCCTGACTCTCACACTCACACCCTGTGTGTGCTCTCCCCCTGACTCTCACACTCACAGGGTGTGTTCTCTCGCTGAAAAATGTTCTGTTCCACTGAAAGTTAGGGTAATTAGTTTGCCTACAAAAATTGTTTCTCGTGTCTGAAGAATTGATTACATTCTGGGTGTGAATTTTGATTTGCAAGATTGAAAAAAACAATTTGGAGATTGAGCCTATACTTCCTTAATAATTGGTTGCACAAAAACTTCAACAACAACTTCAACAACAACAACTTGCATTTTTATAGCGCCTTCAAGCGAGGTAGCATTCTGGAGCGCTTGACAGTGGTGGAGTCTGACCCCGAGCCAGGGGGGGAGTTGACCGTAAGCACGATCAAAAAGGAAAGTCTTTAGGCAGGATTCGAAAGTGGGGACGGAGGGGTCAAGGCGGAGGGATTGAGGGAGAGAGTTCTGGAGTTTTGAGGCTGAAGGCCACCGATGGTGGAGGGGACGAGGGACAAACAGGAGGCCAGAGGCAGCCGAGCGGAGGCAGCAGGCGGGGGAGTGGGATTAATACAGAGTAGGACTGATATTTGTATTCTACAAAATGCCTTCTTGTTCACTACATTTCTCAAATTATAAACGAGAACCATCATTTTCATTATATATTCCGTAAGTTTGGGATCAATTTTTAACGTACTGCAATGAACTACAGAACTTACTAAATGCTTAGCTGGTCAAGAGCGTCATTGGTGATTGATCGGATTTATAACTTTGTTTTTGTTTTCAGAATTGATTATTCATGCATTGTGTTACTGGGTTAACTACATAAGAAAGTCCTTGATATGTTTAATCACGCATTAAAAAGTGTCTGCAAACAATGGAACCAGTGCAACAGCCACTGCCAACTGCCCTTTGTTTGAAATCTTTTATTAATGGGTCAAATAACCAACTGAAGAGAGGCTGACAACTTCAAAAAAATTACTATTCATAATGTACCTCTAATGAATGAACTTGACCTCAGTTGATAGGCACAGAAGTTGACATTGTTCACACATACATTACTACGTGCTAGACTCCAAGTAAGTGAGAATAGTTGTTTCATATACCCGTTAGTTATTGTAGCAGTGGTTGAATAGTGCTTTGTGATGTCCTCCTGATATGAAACATGCTGTATAAATGTAAATTTATATTGTATTGTAATATTAAAACCGGTATATGATCCAAAAAAAGCACAAGAGCAAATCATAAGTCATTAACAAGGTTGTCTCAAGCTTGAAATATTTTACCATCTTGGAACATCAGACTCTTGCCCTATATATTCCGTAAAAATATAACCATTTTTCTCCCCTATAACTTCCATGTGTGGTACAGTATTTCAGCTTTAGGAACAATGTGGTGGAAAGTAGAAATTAATATTCAGAAATAATTACCTACAAAAAACACAACTTAATAATAGCATAAACAGACTGAAACAGAAATACTCTCTGTCGATTAACAAATTAAAGAGTTTTTTTTAATGTTTCAGCAAAACGTTTCATCAGAACTGAAACATTGGGTTAGAAACCCAGTGGTTACTGGTTCATAGGACAGATGCTATTGGTACATAGGACAGAGAAGGATGAGTTAAGCAAAAGGATGCTTGATGAGGAAAGTCCACTGGCAAATAGTCTGATGGCATTCACTGTCTAACGTTTCATAAAAACAGAGTTCATATGATCTTGGTCACTTATCTCTAAACCCTTTCAAGGCTAATAATATCCTCCCATTAGATAGATGACTAGAATTCCACAGTCGTCTTGTGGATTGGGCAGACCAATCACCTACACTGTAATGATAACGTTATTTTAACATTTACCATTTATTCTGCTAATAAAACCCTGTACTTTTAAAACCTTTTTTGTTACAATTAGTATTGTTAAAAAAGTAACAAAGGGTATTCTGATTATTCTTCAGAGTTTATATGCTGCAAGCTCCAAAAGAAGGCTGAGACATGAAGAACATAAGAGCCTATCTTATTTGACCCCTATACTGAGCCACAGAATTGTTAGCAATGTTAGAGTGGCACAGTTAGGCATCATCTCTGTAGCTTCTAATATGCTTTTCCCTGAGAAATCTAGCTAGACCTCTCCTAAATGAGTGGGTATTATCACATAGTGTCATTTCTTTTGAGAATTAAATTGGGGATTAATGCAAATTATTTATCTGTTTAAGGGACAAACTTAATGAGCCGAAAGACAATATTATTTTCATGTGTTTGGTTACTTATAATGGAGATTGTATTTTGAACTGATATCTTATGATGATCAGTACCAACTAACCTATTTGTTTGTTTTTGTCTTTCATGTTCTCATTGATGCTGAAATCATACAAATTGATTTGCACTCATTTTTTCAGGATCCCGTGAGTATAACTGAAAAATAGATTAGTGTAAAATAGTAGCTCTGGTATATGTGTTTGGTGCACACACAGATGCTTGCTGGAATTTCAGTATTCATATTTTAGATGTAAAATTAAAAATGGAGGATCCTGATAAGGTTTGAGATGTTAAAGTTGATATTCAGGTTGGCTAGCCAAAAAGTGGCTAGTAGAAAAGATAAGAGAATCCTCCTGAGGCTTAAATTCTACCTGTATAATTTGTAAGATCATTTTGTCTTAAAGTTTATGATAGTTCAGAATTGTAGAACATTCTTGCATTCATTTCAGTCTGAACTTAAAAGTCAGAATTCCACAGTTCTTAAAAAGAACCAGCTTGCATATAAAGATCAAGTACAATTATTTTCCAAATTTTCAGTAAATTTAAGAGAAAATAGTCTTACAGGCTAACACCAATTTTATTATAAGAAAAAAGATGAATTCAGTTGTCATTTAGTCTTAATCTTATTTTCATTCATTTTAATAAAGCCATTTTTGTTGGTTCCTGTACTTTTTATTGTTTGATTAAGAATTGTTTAAACTTTATTTATTACGTTTAAAGCAGTATGATGCCAGGATTTGTATAGCTCATATTATTTATCAATCATGAATAAAAAATGTAGTTGTAAATTATGTATATTAGGAAATATCATTGGGATATAGCTCTCTATAAGAAAGGATATTTTGATGTTCAATTTTGAGTTAGATTTGTTTTTCTGTGCCTAAATTCCTCTTCACACATACAATTTACAAAGCTGCCAACTGATTGCTAAGAAGTTTAAACCAGCTTTTCATTCACTGATATTCTCGATCCTATTGCAAAGTGTTTCCCTTAACGCTGTGATTGAAGTTGGAAACTCACTACATGGGAAACTATGAGCAAAGCCTGCATTTTATTTACTGTCATCCATCAAACCTTTATCGTTCTTGTATGCAGCAGTAATTTGTTTTCCTTGCTCTGTGATCTCTTCTGCTTCTGAAACTGGTATGTCCCCAGTTGCTGCTGTTCATAAAATTGTCTTGAACTTGTGATCCATACAGCACATGATATTTTAAGATATGTTAGAGTAGTTTCGCACATCTCATCATTTCTTCATAGTATTGCTGATGAACTGGAAGCAGGAACCTGAAAGACCAATAGCTTAGATGGTAAAGCATTAAAATCTATTACATTTCAAGAGACAAGAAATTAATATTGGAATACATGTTTACCACAAATCACCAAGTGTGTTTGGCAGTTTCCTATATTTGTTTGAAATGGGGGAAAAAAACATTCTTACGCTTCAAAGTGCAAATCAACAAGCTTTAAATGAATGATAAACCAACTGATCCCAAATAATGATAATAGTAATACAAATAAGGTTCTTATTGCACAGCACAGTCTTCTAGTGTGTTTTAAGATTGTAGCACAATATTATTTTTACTGAGCTGTATAAAGGATTCCTCCTTTTCGAGCTGTATGTTGCTCTAAGCATTTATTAGTATTCTTCATGTAAATGAATTATTAAAACTGTTTATGATGTCACCGGAAACTTGAAATACTATGGCTTCAGGGCTGTGCATCGATCAGTGGGATAACGTGTATGTGAGTGAAAGGAGGATTGATTGCTATAGACCTAACAGTATTATGAAAATGCTGTTTTATTTTCAGCACCACCCCTTGGCACAATTTGAAGTCATTTTCCAGCATGAAGTGCTTTTGCTCTTAGATCTGATTTTATAATTTATTTGAAAAATAGGTCAGTAGATTACTGGCCTTGTCTGGAAACCTAATCTGGTTGAATTAGGGTGCATTGGAACCATTTAATATTAACAAATACAGAAAAGATTGAGGGAAAGAAAATGGAAAAATAGATTAAAAGTTTATTTGACCCTGTAAAAGTGTTGGAGTATTACTTTTTATGCATTATTATATTTTGCCTAAGACATTGCTATTGCGGAGTCCTGTAGCTTAGTGGTTAGAGCACTCAAATCACAAGTGAGAAATCCTGGGTTCAATTCCTGGCAAGGCGAAACTTTGGGCAAGTTTCATTACTCCACACACCTCTGTTTACCTAGCAGTAAGTAGGAACCCGGTTTTTAGTCAATTAGTGGATCGCTTTTCTACGAATAATAATGTCTTCAAAATAAGTTAAACTAATTTGGTCACTCAATCCACGACTGTTTGTGGGACACTGCTGTGTGCAATTGGCTGCCGCATTTCACCCACAAAATATACAATCAATTCACTTTACAGTGTATTACAGTGTATTCTGTGAAGTTGTGATAAGGCGCTATATCACATGCAAGGACTAGTATTATTATTGTTCATAAATATAACTCTTATGCACTAGGCTTGCTTTTGGCAAATATAAGTAAAAAGATTAACTTTCTGCTCTTACTGGTTTCCCTGGAACCTTACAACTCATGCATGGGAACATGGGAATAAGAATAGGCATTCAGCCCACCAAGCCTGTTCTGCTATTTTATTTGCCTTAAATCCTATTTCCTTGTCTTTTCTCCATAACCCTTAAAATCCTTACTTCACAATTATTCATTCCCATCTATTCTACATCCATCTGGTGCTGTGCATTCCATATTTTCACAACTCTTTGGGTCAAGAAATGTGTTCTAATTTCTGTTCTCTGATCTCACTTCTAATTGAACTTAGCTTTCATTTTAAAGCTTTGGTCCCTTGTTTTGGATTTCTCTATCAGTGGGAAGACTTGTCCCTATCCAGCTTGTCAATGCCTCAATTAGATCACAAGTTAACCTCATCATTTTCTGAGCATCACAACCTACATTTAGTCATCACCTCATCATAGCTAAACTGCTTCATGCCATGTATTAATTTAGTGAATGTTTTGGATTAGCTTGGTTCCTGGACTAATTTATATTTTGTTCCACATCTTCATTGGATACATAATTATAGATAGTTGAGAGTGAATAATAAGGCCGTGCTTCAGAGTTCAGATGATGACAATATAAACCAGAATACCAAAAGCACAAGTAGTTTAAGCTATCAACAAGTGGTTTATGATGAATATAAAGATGAAAATCCAGATTTACAAGTTCTTTATCTTGCTAGTTTAACGCAAAGTACAGTATTTTTTTTTAAGCATAGCATCAACATTGCTGAATACAGTTAAAAGTCGTGTTTCAGTTGCAACGATTGAAGAATGAAATTACATTGATTGAAAATGCAGAAATTATTATGTTGTAGTAGCAAAAATATCCTGTTGATAATATACAAGGTTGCAATAATGACTTGTGCTTGGACAGCAAATTTATTAGATATTATTGATACCGTAAAAGTATATTGAATCCATAGTTCATCTAATGTTCTGCTGCTTTGCTATTAATTACTGATATTGATTAAATTGGCACTGAGTTATGGATTTTTCATTAAAAAATTGCTGTGCTTATCATCGATGAGTACCACTATATTCTAACAGTGCAACAAATTCTTACTATTTTCCAAATATTAATTGATATGAAATTTAAGTTTGATTTTATTATTTTGAAATTGCATCATAGGGATACATGAAACAATGTTGGTCTAGGTTTTTCTTGTTTGTACTCCGAATAATGGGGAAAGGGAAAAATCATGCCATCAAAAAAGGAAAAAAAGCTGTCATAATTCATTTGTCTTAATACATTATGACTGAGTAAAAATAATCCTTACTTTTGATACAGCACCTTTTACATTGGGAGGGTGTCTATTTCACAGGATATATTTTGAATTGCAGTGACTGAGTATTTTATAAGNTTTTTTCTAATTTGGCAGCTAATTCGCACGCAGCAGCATCCCACAAACAGTCATGAAATGAATGACCAATTTTTATTTGGGTGATTGTTGGCCAGCACACCAGAAGAAGCTCACTTCTCTTTTTGAATAGTGCCATGAGATCTTTAATGTCTATCTGAACAGAAGATGAGACCTCGGCTTAAAGTCTCATCCAAAAACAGCATGGGCCAGGCTCCCACCTGCTTGGAGCCATTTTTTAAAAACATTAATTAAAACGTGGCTGAATTTTAATCTGGTGATATAAATCAATGTTGATGATAATATAAGTTGCTGTTCTCTGCCCCATGGACCAAAAATACATTTATTTTGTTCAGCAAACAATATGTATTTGTTTCTGTGCCAAATCAGTATAAGTTTTTTTTGTTACTTATCAAGATGAGTCATGTTCCTGCAGGGGATGGAACAATTTTACACTTCATTGGAATCCAGCATTCCCAGGACAGGAAATTCAGAGGAAAGCTTCCTTTGAATGTGCAGCAACTATATGCGTGAGCCTCAGAAGGGACTCCAACATTGTATTTTTTTATTTCCCACATGTCCATGGGTTTTTAATTTTCCTTTTGCGGAACTACAAGCAGTTTTATTCTATAGATTCATGTCTCTAGAAACTGGGTTGACACTGTCAAAAATGATTTCATATCTCCTGCAGAGGGAGTCAGTCACGTATTGACTGAATTTCAAGTATGGTGCTAGCAACATTTAGAGGCTTTGTCAGTTTTCAATATTTGTATTGTAGGAGTAATAGGTACAAGAACTTGAAGTAGATCAGTAGGGTGCACTGCAACTCAGGATTGTTAATTGCAGGCAGGTTTGCCTAATGGGAATTCTAGTTGAAAGTTGCTTTGGTAGAATTGCCATCTTTTGGAGAAACATTAAACCAAGGTCCTGTTCAGTTAGATGTTAATGATCCATGAATCCAAAAAGAAAAGGGCCTGTCTTTTGAAGATTTCAAATAATAATTCCCCAGATGAATTGGTTATTTACTTAATTGCTGATTGTGGGACAACGGTGGCACAAATATACTGTATTCTACAGTAGCCAAATAATTGTAAATACTGTAGTATATAATATTGTAAAACCATGCCAATGCTGCTATTACTCAAATAGTGTCCTTCATCTGTGCTTTTTTTGAGCAATGTGCACTCGTAATGCCCTTCTGAAAGGGGTGAACTGACTGAGAAACTAAACACATAAATGTATT